AGCTAATTCACATAAATTTAATTGCATCAAGTTAACAGATTTATTACTGGTTTATACAAAAGAAAACATTCCTTTCACTCATACCTTACATTGCCACATCAAACATTTTTGAATATTGCAATTTATAATAATAAATTGACTATTACAACACTTCATACGATCAATGTTGAAGCCATATTACGATGATGAACCAACCAGATTTAAGAGTACAGTTCTTCGATTGTAATTAGAGATGTTAAATGTAGTGGTAACAGATAGCTCCTACCTTCGTTAGGAACTAAGTAAAAAAAATTGACTATATTTAGTTCTTAAGATGTTTGAAACTGATGAACATATTTGCTCCTCAATCAAAAAGTCAATATAACATAATGGGAAAGTTAAATTAAAAGAAACATACGCTACTAGAGCAGATCGCATTTGAACAACTTAATATACCTGATGTAGTTTCAGGAGTAATAAAAGGTGTTTGTATGACGCCTAAATGTCATTATATCTTCTAAGTCAAATGATATAGAAGCAATTATCATTTACGTACATGGATAAGAGACCAACAGTAATACATATAACTGAAGAGCACGTAGGTGTCTCTAAAGATGAATTTGTAATTAATAGATCGTCCTTCATAAGTACCAATTCTTCGACTGTACAACTGCTATTCACACTTATAATGTTGAATTAATGCAGTCAGAATTATAGGATTATAATCGTCCTTATAAAGGATTCGAAGGTTAAATGATTTTGAATCATACAAGCAATAAACCTATTACGAACCTTACTAAGTTTAATAATCGAGTAAAAAGTTATTATTATTATTATTATTTAAACATATAAAAATTGGTGCAAAGAGGCACCGAATACATAGGTGCCACATAAGTCACTTGATTTGCATGTGGGCTGTGATACTGCTCGGATGCTCATACCAAAGCAGGTGGTCTTCTTAGGGAGCCACATCCGAAGCCTTCGACCAAAAGGTCTAATCCACAAGGCAGTGAAGCAACATCAGGAGGTGCAGTCCCATGATAGCCGGTGACCAACGATTGGTTCATACACCATTAGTTCCCTCAGGATCCTGGAACCCATGTGCACCACTGATTTGAAATAAGGATTTCCCAACTCCCCTAGATAGATTCTCCGTATCCAGCAATCTGGTTAAATTGCAGAACACTCGCTTTTCGTCCTCTCAATTTCGTAAAAAAACACCCCCGTCGCGAGAACAGTAATACTTCCCTGACAGTGGCTGTATACGCATGGCCATGTGAAAGTATGTCGAGAGAGAGATAGGAATATCTAAACACTTGGCCGTACCAGGGCATATGCTTTAAAACGTTTGAGATTTTCCATATTTAATTATTCATTTATATTACTTGGATTTTGACTGATCAGTAACTGAGTAGAGTTTCGTACGTTCACTTTCAAATTCGTCATTATTGTGTAGTAACAGTTCCACTGGTGGATTTCAGTTCAGAATGTGTCCTAATCTCAAGCAATATTATAATTATTCATTGTTAGACAAGTTTGATCACTATTGTTGTAATAAGCCATGATAAAAAAAGCACAATATCTGACTGGAATCAGTACAACGCTAGAAGACAAAGCCAATAGTCAGTTGAATTTGAGATTACCTTATACATTTCATTTTATAACGTGATAAATATTGTAAAAGTTGGAACTGATTTTTGAATTATAATCATTATTAGTAGTATTATTCGGTTTTTTCTTTTGTATAATTATTGGATTACAATGTCTGCATATCCCATTTATAATAAGCTTTCAATCAACTTAATAACTAGTTTTGTACAACATACTATTCTTAATTTGTTTTCAGTCTATCCACTATTTACAACCAAATTTCAGCTTATTTATGTATAATTTTGATTTTTCATTTTATGATGAAATTGTGTCACAGAATGTTTGCATACTGACCTACGTATATTTGAAATTAATAATAAGCTGGTTGCTTACTTCTCTTTGACCTCAACGCAAACGGATAGAGATAGATTTAAATATAACGAACTAATAGCAATGCAACTTGTGTCGGCTCAAGGTTAACGGTGTAGATCAGATGTATGATTAGTCAAGTCTAGGACACTAGTTGCTAATAAAAAATAGACACAATAAGAATTTTGATTGATGACTTTAACATGTGATATCGATTAGCGTCTCAAGCCATAACATTTCAGTTCATAGCATTGTTATTGCACTACGAATTAACTGTCTATGTGGAATGATTAATGTTACGACTTCTACTACTCTCTGACATTATTCTAGATAATTTCATTTAAAGTTGGTATAATATTGAAGAGAACGGCGGCCTGCTTGAATATCTGGGCTACCTGTTTCTGCCATCTAATTATTTCAACCAGTTATCTGGTTTTTTTCATTTTGTTCTAACGTCTCATTACGCCCATTCATCGCATAACCTATACAGGTGTGTTTATGAAAAGCCTACGACCTTTCGCTGCACAAGTTACAAAAAAAGTACTATAAAAGACATCGTGGTGGTTGGCAATATGCGTTAATGAGAATGAACATTAATCGTATGGCAATTCCCGAGCTACTAAATTCTAACTGCCGATCACTAATCAACAAAGTGGACTATCTGCAATTCTTACTTAGTCAAAACACGTATCGTAATTGTGGTGTCATCACAGTTCAAGAATCTTGGTTGAATGATTTACAGGATGACTGCCTTGTATCACTACGTGATTTTAAAATTTATCGTCAGGATCGATCAAACAATAAAAAGAGGTGTGGCGGCGATGTAGCTACGTGTGTAATCGTGAACTGACACCGATTTTCGTTTGCGTGTTTCAAGTTTTCAAATGACTTTATCGACTTTCTAACTCTAAGATGCCGTCCAAAACATCTGAATAAATACAAATATGTTTATGTTAACAATATCTACGCGACTCCAGACTGCACATCATCTGCGCTATCTGTTTTCGTTGATGAATTCACTGAGCTCTCTGTTACTGCCTTCAGTGATTCACTTTCAGTTGTATGTGGTGATTTCAATTCATGTGACTGTAGCTTCCTTATGTCACTAGGTCACCAAAATGTAGTAGATTTTCCTACTCGTTTGGATGCTCATTTAGACTTTGTTTTCGTTAATGATGTGGGTATATATGTGACTTGTAAACGTACTCCATTTTCTAGCTCGGATCACTGTATAATTCGTGTTCTACCTAAAGTATCTGGAAAGCATGGAACGAGTACACTCTTACATCAAACCAAGAAAGTCAAATATAGGAATTACTTAGAAGAAAATATCCGAAATCTGAAAAACATGTTTCATACGACTAACTGGGAATTATTTACAGATGACTCACTCGAAAACACTACTGATGTTATCACTTGTTACCTTAAATTCTGTTTTGATATTTGTTGTCCCACCGAAACCATTTTTATAAGTTTTGATCGACTTACATCTTCACAACTAAAACGACTACGAAGGATGAAAGAAAGAATGTACAAGGAGAAGAACTCTAACGAAGTTCGTAAGCTAAATGGTCTGATAAACCTAGAGATTAGACGTCTCAACTCTATGTTTACTCAAAAACTCTTGTCTTGCAAAAACTCTCCAAGTATATGGAAACTCTTTAAAAAACTGACAGGTGACAGATAGATTAGGAGTGATAACCAGCTGAATGTTTGTGACTTAAATAAGTCTTTTGTATGTCAGTCATTTGATGTGATGCTCCCTTTATCCACAGGGAAAATTACTGATACTTCCACTTCAGCCTGCGATAAAAGAGCATATTGATCCGTATCAGTTTGTTTACAGATGCAAAAGAAGCACTTTAGATGCTATTGCTGTTCTGCATCACAATATAGTGTTTAACTTAGGAAAGGGTAAGAAGTATGTTCGATGCACTTTTCTAGACTATACTTCAGCTTTTGATTCTATACCAAGACAACGTCTAATTAACAAGTTAATCACCGTCAACACTGACATCTGAATAACCAACTGGCTATGTTCCTACCTCTCTGGAAGGGAACAGTACACTGTGTTTGGAGGAAAGTGTTCAGAGTCTCTACTGTCTCATGAAGGTGTACTACAAGGAGATGTTCATTCACCTCTTCTTTTCTTTCTTTTTCTGCATGATCTACCATCTTCCACAGAAAACACTTTTGTGAAATATGCGGATGATCTCGCTGTATGTATGCCTATCCCTTCCATTTTACATCCCACAAAAATGGTTGAGTTTTTGTCTCATACTGATTGTTGCTCTGTTGGTAATGGTCTTATACTTAATCCGTATAAATGTCAAGTTGTTAACTTTAGCATAAGACATGAACGGCATCTAAACACCATTTTGAAATCCCATAATGCTTGTGCTATTGGAGACTCTTTGAGAAACACATTGTCGAAGATCAATTATCTTGATGTTACCTTTTCCTCTCATCTCTCTTGGTCTTCCCACGTTTTATTGTTATCGAAGAAGGTTTTCCGTCTGACTTACTACATAAAGAGATTGCATTCTCTTGGGATTACTCGTCACTTACTCTTACAATTTGCCAATTCTTGCATATTACCTATTATTCTTTACTGTTCTCCATTATTTTTTCTCGGGCTTTTGGAGAAAAAACTTTGCTGTATTGAGGAGAGTGCTGAAGGCAGTTAGCAAGATGTGTGGTGAATCTTTTGAGGTCATAATTAATATGGTTGTGGATAGACATCTAAAGTCATGCAAAATCCTGACAGGTGTTATGTTATCAGATACTAACCATCCCCTTCACTCTTATCTTTCTCCTTATATATTTCTGGTAGAACGAGAGGTAATTACATTAAAATGCATGCACGCAACCAAATGTATCAAAGTTCTATAGTGCCTTACCTAGCAAATATACTCTGTGACGAACAGGTTGTCAGAGTTAACCTAGCCAATAACCTGCATTCTTAACATGACTTTAATTTTAAAAGTTGTACAGTTTTTCAGATTTTTTTAAACCTTTTTTGTCTTTGTTTCTGTTTTCTGTGTAAGAAACCTGTTGAAATACCCTGTGCTGAGAATTCTATATTGTACCAAAATATAATATTGAACAAAGCCATTAATAATGACAATAATGATAATATAGTGAGACTGTGGGAGAGAACAAATCAGATTCCAGTGGGGGAAGAAATCAGGAGGAAGCACTGGAACTGGATAGGACACATATTAAAGAAAATACCAAACTGCGTCACAAGGCAAGCCCTTACTTGGAATCCTCAAAGTCAAAGGAGAAGAGGAAGATCAAAGGATACATTACGCTAAGAAATGGAAAGAGACATGAGAAGAATGAACAACAATTGGATAGAACTAGAAAGGAAGGCCTAGGACAGTGTGTGTTGGAGAATGCTGGTCGGCAGCCTATGCTCCACTGGGAGTAACAAGTGTAAGCAAGAAAGTAAGTAAGATATAGTGAGACAACTTGGCCAGATTCTACGTTGTTTATGACTGACTGACCATTACGACAGATATAAACGACAGTCAAGGGATGTATATATATCCATGCTGCAACTAGTTTTTTTATTTAAATATTCAATACATATTACATTTTAACAAAAATTATAACAAGGAAATGAATTAAGAAAACAAGAGATTATTATCATGAAAGTTTAATGTGTGTTTAATAAAAGACATCTCAGATAAGCACAATAATTGTAAACAAAAAAGCAAAGACAAGTACGGTAAAAAAAAAAGAAACCATAAAAAACACACGCACTACTTATACCTATGATAGTAGTAATAGCATAGTAACAATCATAATAGTTATCATCACCCATAATTAGTAAGCATAATGACATTTGATTAATATATTAACAAAGTTAAAAGTATCATATAACGCATGACCCCCCCTTCCCCCCCCCACCTTCTTCGCTTAAATTCAATGAGTATACACTGAATTCAACCACTGACAGTGGATTTTCTACGACGAAAAATATTGAATAATAAATAACAAGGAAAAAAAGAAAAGAAACGAAAGGAAAGACAAAAAGATCTAATTGCCAAATGAATGATTATACTGTACTAATATAGTTTTAAACCATTAACAACAACAACAACAACAGCAACAGAAAACTCACTCTAATCCTTCAATAGATGTTTAGATTAGAAGAGTTAGACACTGATGAATTCTTATCTTCATCATCATCATCGCCATCATCATCAATATGATCCATATGTTTATCAATGATTAATATTATTCATATTAATAGATAATTGTTTAGCAGTTTGAATTAATCTTTTTAATGCTGGTCCATAATATTGAATATCTGATAATTCTATAGCAGATTGTATAAATAAATTTATTTGTTTTAATGCATTAACATAATCATTAGATTGAATAGATGAAATACAAAATTGTAAATATTCCATAGAATTCTGATCTAATTGTAATTGACCAGTAGATATATTATTATAGAATTGATTTAAACAATATTCAACATTCATTAATTTATGACGAGTTTGCTTAAATGATAAAGGAAAACAACAATGAATAGTTTAACCAACAAAAACATTAGGTTGCTGATAGTATAGAGTAGCAATTATTTATGTGAAACAATTTCAATGTTTCGTCCATCAAACTTATTTACACTTCTTCAGGCTTATAATCAATATCAAAAAAATAATGTTGACTGTTAGCCTGACGAAGCTCAGACAAGTGTGTTGGACGAAACATTAGAATCATTTAAATTTCAATCGCCGAGATTATTTCATATATAATTTTTGTATATAAACCCGTTTATTGTCTTAAGGTATATATGCATACTACTTCCAATCCAGTTGTTATTCTTATTACTTCCGATCCCTGCTACATACTACTTAAGCCTGTTCGCATAAGTAGCATACACCACAGTACTTAATTAATTACTGAGATATTATTAGTGATTAAAATCAATGGTTTAAATAAATCAATATTGTTTGTATCATATCTTGATTGAAGATAGTTCAACTGATTGACTGATATTACCATTAAATAGTATGAATATGAAAAACAAAAAAATGTCAGTTCCTTGTTGTGATAATGATCAATTAGACAAGAAATGTTTACATTCAATACTTCAACCGATTTTCTTCTACCCATTGACATTTACAACTGCAACTGGTCAGTTTATTATTGACCCATGTGCACACTGTTGTCCTAAACGTAAATGGGAATATTCAAACAACCATTACAAAAATGAACAAATCAAGCTAGTTAGAATAGTGCTTATCTATGCGCTAAGAATGTTTTCAATTGAAGTTATTATACTCATTTATAATAGGCTATTGAAATACATACAAACCTCCCTTAATTTAAATTAAGAGGAGATAGTGATTATGTGATGCATGCTACTTATGCTTGGAATGCTTGCCGAAAGAAGATTGAATTTACGAAAACAGGAATGAGGAACAGAAAGAAATTGGGACAACAAAGGAATCGAAAAAGTTATGAAATATAATTAGGTGGAAGATGTTTATAAAGGTACTCTGTAATTTTGTATGAAGTATTAACTTGAATAACCCCACCAAGCCCTCATTCAGTACAGTTATACTAATTATGGAAATTTCCGATGTTGGTAACTACGTACAATTAATTAATGAATAGTCCTTATTAATAATGTAATTTAAAACAATTCAGTGATATTTATTTGCAACCCAAAAGACGTCTTCATTTTAGATAGACGTGACAAGTGAAAATATATACCTGATAATTTACTTTGAATATTGAAAAATCACTAAGTGATTGAAGATAGTCTGGAGGAAACTTTAGAATTACACTTTGGGCGAGTCGGCACTTGTAAGCAGGGAGTAGCTGTGGTTTAAAAGGAACTGTCAATCTATATAGCATTTGAACTTGTATCGCTGAAATTCGTAATTTTATTTGGGGCGCGATGAAATCTAGGTTAAAGAATGTTTTATTTCGAATGCTTACAACCACCTAACGTCTCGAAATAGCACACGAAATGCCAAGTCAAATAGACAACTCACGACATTGAAGCTTGATCAATAGAAACTGATCATCACAAGAAACATACTAGACAAACATGACATTGGTCACTATTCAGTGATCAACCAACTGTGAACTTTAATAGATTTTTTACTACAATAGTAGTGGGATTATTATATATTTCAATTCTGTGCCTTCAAGACTTGTGCCATCATGTTTGAATCTGATTCATAAGTGAAGAACAAATAACGCAAGTATTATGCATAAATTAATTTAAGGTAAAATTTAGATAAATATGCTTACTTTGTCGCCAACCTTACGACAATTTTCAATTAAGTCAAATAACACTTTTTTTATGGGCTGAAATTCTGCTGGCAATGAATAATCACTAACATTATTGTGATCAGAGTTTAAACTTGTAGAATCTAACTTATGTGATAATTGTAAATCAGTATGGTCATCATTCGAAGAAGTGAAAGAATTCGATGGCATGGCATTTTCAATAATAGTTTGACTGGTAATCCCAGATTTAACGGTAGTAGATAAAGGTTGAGCTGCAGGCCAAAGATTAAGTTCGGTGTAGGAATTCGGTGGAACAACTGATGACATAGGTGGTAGTGTTGACGATATAGTGCAAAACTGAGAATTTTGTTCAATCGGTGGTTGGAAATAATTTGGGTACTGTTCTTGTTGATGATATACACCTTGTACTTGTGGATACGATGGCTGTTGAACAGGCGGTCCCATGAATGATGATGATAATGATTGCTGTTGAATATGTGTCGATGACAGTGGCAAGGGCTGCTGTAGTTGCTGCTGAGGATGAACTATACCAGCATTTATAGGTGAGATAGAATTTTGAATTGGTGGTGGCGCAGGTTGATATACATTTAATCCAGTAGCAGGACAACCTGATGGTAAAGGAGGATTTGAAGGAGTAGTGTGTAGTTCCATCATTGGTTGAGGAAAATTCGAAGGTGATACGGAATTATTCGGTTGAGGCAAAGGTGAACTAATAAATTCCATAGGATTATAATAAGGGTTGTGTGAAACAGTTGTCTAGAAAAATTGTAAATAAAATGTAAACATTTGTAGGTGCATCAGCCAACATTTGGTTAGAATACACACACACTAAGTGTATTCGTGTAGTTCCTAGATATAATAGCACTTTTCATGAAGGAAATTTCTGCCACACGTTTTACTCAGGATTTGTGAAACATTTACAATAACTGACCGATAGATATTGAACAATTTATAAGGACATAAATAACTGAAAATGTTTAGCCAGCATATGCAGCAAAAAAAGGTTTGGCGTCTTGCAAAGCGAAAGTATACAGAGAACAAGATGGAGCTGAGCTAACTCGCTCTATCACTATGAATATGATCTTGGTCACAAACCTTCGAAATTTTCGACAATACACCCTCAGAAGTTATCCAGTATAACCAGAAACTCAAGATTCTACACCCTGAAAACGTGGTTTATGATATTCCATTAAATCATGCACATATAATTACTAAGACAGCAAATATATTCCAGTGGTGAAGTTGATAGGGATACCTGCAGATACCAACATCAGTGCTTCTCAAGAACATCATAGTCAGCTTATCGGTTAACCTCTCAGCTGTCAGTCAAACAAATCATATATTCCCCACATAAATCATTGAGTTTTTATGATACTGGCCGGTCAGCCAAACCGAAGCAGATGGTTTCTTTAGGAGACCATTTACAGAGCCTTTGATCTAATGGTATGATCCACAAAGCAATGAAGCAACGACAGGAGATGCGGTTCAATGGTAGATGGTGACAGAAAATAGGTCCATACACCATTTCTCCTCTCAGGATTTCCGAACCAATGTGCATCATTGGTTTGGAATCAGGGTTTTCCGACTCCTTTCCGTCAGTTCGTAAACATCACCCTACTTCTAGAAGGCAGCGAAAAAGACTTCCTTGGTAGTGGCTATATACGTGTGACTATATGAAAGTATTTCGAGAGGGAGAGTGGACTGTCTCTATTCTCGGATGTGCAAGGGCATTTAGGAGCGATATATAGTATACTCATTCTACGATCAGTATTTAGTATAAAGCTAAATTCCACACGAAATGGGAATCGACAATAACAACAAAATTAATATCACTAGTAATGACACAACATACCTGACGTGGTTTATCAGTTGTTAAGATAGGCGGATCATTCCAACCTGGTGATATCACTGATGATTGATGCTGTGTTTGTGTTGGTGGTATCGACATTGGTGCTGGTAGTAGCGGTGGCATATGTTGTTGAATGTGTTCCTGTTGTTGTTGGGTGTTGAACTGAGGAATAGGTGTTAGCATACCATAAGGCACATTGTTTAATGATTGAAAACTAGGAGGCATTGTTCCACCAAAGTTATGCCCAAAGGTTGTACTCATTTGGGCTGATTGTGTTGGTGATGCTGGTGTTGCAGGCAATGGTGGCTTTAGTACATTCGACATACTAAATAATAAAAATCAAAGATGAAATCTTTCAATGTATACACACGTATGTATGTGCGAGCGTTGATTTTCATAAGATGGACATCTTAAGATATGTTTGTTAGAATTATCCACCGAAAATAATGCAGTTCAGGATGGAGATTTTACAGGTATTGTGTTCCTATGAGCTAGATGATATTTAGTCGTGAAGTTTTCGGTATCCTTCTAGACAATATTATCAATTAGCTATTTTTTTTATAATTGGCTAACAACTTGTTCTGTTGACCTGCAATTTGACTAGTTGTTGTTGATAATCATGTTGCCGTAGTTCAAACATTTTTGTTTTGATTGTAATCACCTATCTGACACTTTCTTTACATTTCTGACATTCTAACTGTTCTACATCTTTCATACTAGCTCATAGATTGAATTAATTTCAGAAGTGAATAGTCAGGGATCGACTCAGGAGAGAAATACAATCACAACAAATACGCAAACAACAACCATATAGTGATGAACTATAGATAAGTAAAACATTTCATGTCAACAAAGCAAATTATTGGAGAAATACTAAATGCTCAAATTTTTTTCAATTGCCGACAATGTTGTTTAGGTAAATATTGAACAGTTTACAATCAGACTACATAGTACAGAATACAAAAACAATTCTACTAAAACATTCTGATATAGTTGAAATGACTTGAAATGTTAAACCTTTTAGGCATTAAAAATCATTATAACAACCATTTATAAACACACATTAGGTTTTGGCATTTTGTTCATTGGTTATTTAGAGTTACTTATCATTAGTTTAGGTAAATCACTTTATGGTTCCTTACTTAAGATTGTGTACAGACTTTTTAAACAATTGTCTGTTTAATACAGTGAAATAGTTTCAGTTAATATGAAGTGATGCCTTAATACTTAAGACCTTCAACTCGTAGCTAATAAGTTGTAAGTTTGAAACGCATTACATCTAATTTGTTTAAAGCAAACAAGCAGTAGTTACCAGTAACCCTTACACTTAAAGCGTACCTCAAAGACAAGTACAAGAGATTTTATTGGATAGAAGAGGAATCATTAACCAACACAGTAGAAGAACAGCAAAGATAAAAACAACACATTCAATCGGGATCATGTGACCGAACTAAAACAATAACATCAAAAAACTCCACTAAAGACTGTTTTTCTATCAACAACAAAAAAACAGAACACACTATAACTTGAAATTATCTGAATTATCCTGGTGTTGATGATGTTGATTGAAATTTGATCAATATTAGTTGGTATACGGGTAACCTAACGGGATTGACTGCATATGGTTATCATGACACAAGCTGAAATAGAATATCTTTAGCAGTGGAATCCAGGACACTCGTTGGAACTTTTCAGCCGGATTACAACTAAGAATGATCGAATTTCAATGAAAATAATAACAACCAGATTAATTTAAAACCACTTAAAATTACATTACAATCCATAACCATTGAACAAATGAGTAACTATCTACACTCAATAGCTAAGTGGAGAATGCAATGGCATTTGAAGTGAACAGTATTGAATTCCAGTTGTGAATGAGATGTGGTTACATCTAGCTGACGAGCCCCGAGTAAGACAAAACGCACGTTTTAGATTTCATTACTAGCCACACTTTATCCTATTTAAAACACACTATAGATAACTGCAACTAATAACCCTAGAATACAATCTTCGAAACAGTCAAGGTGAAAATGCTAATCAACCCTGTTTAACGCAAAAAAGCTGTTTGATTTACATTGAAAACTACAGAGAAAAATAACCACAAAATATATCACTTTAATTATTAAGTATCCCTACATTTGAAGAAAAAAATGATCTACCTATTTCCAGAAACTGAATCTGTTCCTAATAGATTATTATTTGGAGGTTGTACATAACGATGGTTCATTACAGGATAGTTTCTATTATTATTATTATTGTTATAATTGGCATCTAGCAGAGGTGGTGCGAAAACAGGTGGAAATTGTCTAGCCGATGATAGATTCGATTGATTTATTGAATTTACAGGTGGCAAACCCAGTGGAGAGTAAATATTTGAGGAGGAGGATGATGACATTATTGTGGATGGAACAGGAGAAGTAAGTGATGGCAGTACATCGGCGTTATGTGATGATGTAGGCGGAGAAAAGTTGAATCTATAAGAAGAAGTAGTTTATCAAAATATGTAAAAAAAACATTACTTTCTTGTAAAATCGTCAGTAATGACGAATTGCTAAAAGGATCTTATGAACCTTCATCATATCACCATATTAAGATGAATAATTTGTTGATAATAATCACCGTAATCTACAATCTGTTGAGAGACATAGAAAAAAACCAGACAGACCAGGATAGTCATGTGCGTTTCTTCTCAACAATATATTTTGTCTGGATTTTTATATTGATTTCTAAACAATTTCTCACTTATTTGATTTCATTTAGTTATATTAGCATGAAGGGTAAGTCAAAGATTATGACTTGTGACAGATATTATGTTAATAGTAATTAATTGGTTGACCGACTTGATATTCCATCTTAATATGAGAAAACTCTGCAGTGCAGACTCATGACTCTATAATGTATAGTTACGTTTAACTGACTGACCGAACCCGTTATATTAAGCTTGGCCCACCGAATGCCGTGTTACATCCGAGGGTAGAGAAAGTCCGCCCTCCCTCTCGAAATACATTCATATAGCCAGTACCAAGGAAGTCCTATTCATGGAATAAAACAGTATAAGAGTGGTCCGATTTCAATGAAAATATCAACAATCAGATTAATCTAAAACAACAACAAATTACATTAAATTCATAACGATTGAATGAATGAATAGCTATCTACACTCAGTAGCTAAGTGAACAATGTGACAACGCTTGAAGTGAATAGTACTGAATTGAAATTGTGAATGAGGATGTAGGAACATCTGGCTGATGAAGCTCCAAAGTAGAACGAAACATTAGCCCTGAATTCCACTACTATCCAAAATCTATATTTATTTAAACACATAAACATTGGTACAAGGAGGCACCAAATACATATGCGCCACATAAATCATTTGATTTGTGTGAGGGTTGGGATACTGCCCGGTGCCCAAACCGAAGAACGTGGTTTACGTAGGGGGCCACAACCGGGGCCTTTGACCTAAAGGTCTGATCCACGAGGCAGTGGAGCGACGTTAGGAGATGAAGTCCTATGGTAGCCAGTGATCAAAAATTGGCTCAGATGCCACTTGTTCCCTCAGGGTACTGAAGCCCATTCGGATCATTGGTTTGTAATCAGAGATTTCCGACTCCCCTAGGTAGATCCTCCATATCCACCAACGCGGTTAAAGCGCCGGACATTCGCTCTTCGTCCTCTCAATTTCGTAAACAGCATCCCCGCCACGAGAAGGCAGTGAGTAGGACTTCCCTGGCAGAGGCTATATACATGTGGCCATGTAAGAGCATTTCGAGAGGGGGAGCTGACTCACTCCACTCTCAGTCGTACCAGGACATCATAAAAACTGTTCTGTAAAAACTTAAAATCTAACACAGAATCAATCATATTGAATGAATTTTCCAAATTGCAACCGACTTCAAAACTTACGTAGATTTATTTTGTCCAGATATACTGGTCTGTACACCAACAACACTATCATTAAACGACAAACAATTAGTAGAAGATGAAGAAAAAGTTGGATAATTGAAACTATCAAGATGTTTTTGTTCATAAAATTGATTTTGATTTATTTTTGACTGATATGTGCATTGCATTGTTTGATTAGATAAAAATGGATAATTTACTGACTGTTGTGGTTGATAATGATTAGTATTAGTTGTTTTAATAAATAAAGATGATTGTATTTCTGTGGATGAATTAGCCTTTGATAGACCACAATGACATTGTATATGCTAATATAAAAATAAAAAAACAAATTATATATATATATATATATATATATATATATATATATATATATATAACGTCAAAAACCAATAACATTACAATAGTGTATCCAACGGTCATATCAATGTTCCGTTTGATTTTTGATCAAAATCTATCATTTCAATCCATGACTTCATTTATCTTGGAAATCCTATCAGATAAGATGAGTTGGTGTCTCATGAATCCTTGGCAAGAAGTCAGGAAGTTTGGTTAGTTTTTGCCAACTTATGTCACTTCTGACGTAGACGAGATATTCGCTCGGTTCTTCTTTAAAGATGTGAAATGTAGTCTTTAAGAAGAGAGGATATTCACAGGTTACTAGTATTCTTCCATAGGTGTCTTTGAAGCACTACTTGTATATTTTAGGACCGTTGAGTTAGCAGTTCTTAGGTTAGACGCAGAGTACTAAGCGAGTATGCTGAACCAATAGACGAGGTAGTGAATCTTTATTGACTGAGATGGTTGGAAGATGTATTAAGCATTCGCATCCATCGGCTACCTGGATGCGCGATGATAGCCGGCATAGGAGTAGGTGACGAGAAAGTCAGAGGCAGCCAAACCAAGACATGGCATCCGTCCATGAAGACACACTTTGTTGAACTGATTCATGTAGGTAAGTAGATAATTTCATACCAACTGTTTAGGTTCTGCGTGATTATCAAAAACAATGTTTAAAGTCTTTCAATGGCAGGGAGCAGAATCGATCGCAGTGGTACAGGTGGATTCACTGTTTATCTTCCCTTAGATCCTTATCTAAGAACGTTTTCATTGTTTCAGTAATTTATATCTCTTCGATCTGTATTTTTCATCCCTAATCTTTTTTATTTGTCCTCATTATGTTGCTATCTCTACTACTCTGGAATTTGACCTGAAGATTTCATCTCGCTGTACTAGTGTATGCTTGATCACGCGCTAGGACCTACACAAAGATTTTTTCACTATCTTACATGTTAGCTACTTAAGTCGCTCATTACTTTGTTGATATATATGTATGCATATTAAATCCTTTTCATTCATTAGTATTCGCATTTTTGTCCGTATTCGCTTCATGTGCTTTGTAACTCTGTGATCTGAATTGTACAATAATAGATTGTAGTCACCTTTTCGTATTGTCATCTAAAATCTACACATCGTTTGAAGTTATGTAATAACGGTTATCAGGACGAGTGATATACGAAACAATAAGCCAAAACACCATTAAAAACCAGAGAGCACTGGACAGATGTTTTATTCTAGCAAGAAATTTCTCAGTTGTGCTCGTCAACAACACAATCAAAAAGTATCAAACACATCACCACCAGACTTAGTGGTAGGTGACTAATCTCCATATCACTAAGTCAGTATCTTTTGATGTACATGCCTAACTAAAATCAGCTGCTTACCACGAAACTTGAAGGCCATGAGTTAGGTCCCCGGTAAAGACATGGATGTGTACTAACAGAGGGTTTTGTTATATCCTAGTGAAGATTGAATTACGTGTAACTTTTAAGAATTATTAATGGACTAATATTATATATATATATATATATATATATATATATACATATATATATACTGTATAGCTATTCAGTAACTAGGTTACGTATATCTATATTCCTCTTATTATAAGCTTCATTTTGACCTATAGATTATTATTGTACGACTTACTGTTCTTAAATTATACTCAGTTTATTGATTACAGTCTCCCACGTTCACATCCACTTTTTGGCTTGATCTTGTATAAATGTTATTTCCTATTTTATGGTGTGACGCAGTCTGTTTGTCTGGTATATAAACCAAGTATGTTTGAAATAAATGATTCGTATAGTGGAAGATGTTATTGGCATTCTGGTTTCAGCTGGACGAGCTAGACGAATAAAGGACCAATAAGGACGCTAGAATGCTCATGCCGGTTGAACGTCATTGGTTTGTCACAGTGCTAAGATTGTATAAGTGGTATATCGACAGGCGAATATATCACATGATAACTAGCCAGGCTTAAAGTTATAATAGGTTTCGCATAAGAACGGAACAGATTTCTAGTGGTCCCTAGTTGTTAATGGTTGTCAGTAATGTAAATGTTAAAGCAGTGTTAAGTTTGTCTCACATTGTTCCTACTCGTTCCCTTTCTACTCTTTTGTATATTGTCTTATACTACTTATTTACATTCAGTAAGCAATTGTATTCCCAACAATTTTCAGACTTATATTGTAACGCAAGTTGTACTGTAATATTCTGAAATGTACACATATACTTATAACGTTTATTGTACTTATCATTGTATTTATCATTATAATTACTGTATCTTAATCACTGTAGCCGTTATCCACAGTTTTGTGCATTTGTTTAAGCGCAACACTTTCCATATTGTTTGCTCTTGGTTCGAGTTTCGGTTGCTCATAAACTGTTATCAAATTTAGACACAGCTATCAGCTATCTTTTGTACTATCATACGTTATAATTATTCTCTATGTTACTGTTACAGGAAGCCTTTTCATTTTTATATTTGAATGAAAACGTTTAAATACCCGAGACACTTCACAAGTTGAGGTTTGTAACTAGATTTTGTTTATTATTCAATGAAGAACTGCTATTGTAGACAAATCGTTGTTTTGGAAACTTCAGTTTTGAGCGTATCTCAATCGGGTGACTTGGATACTTCGATAGACTTAACAAACAGATTACCTGTTAGTTACTTATCATTAATTCTTAAAGAACAGATGATTTTCATCATAATCCATATAAACTAATTATTCGATTATAGAAAAGATTGGTCATGACTAACAGTCTAATTCAATATACACATTTCGTTCTATTTCGGACTCCTCAGTTAGATATATACATACATTCGACAATTGACTTAAATATACTTAAAATAAAGAAAGCATTGGAAAAAGAAAAGAACAAAAGATGAACAAATAAAACTTACTGGATATGGGCATAAAAATTGTTGAGATAATTCATTGGATAATATTTGCTGTTTTTGTTGTTGTTGTTGTTCCATGCTTAGATTACACCAAATACGATGTCTTAAATCAATTAAATTATTCATTGTTTGTGAATATAATTCAACAATTGATAAAGTTTTTGTTAATAAATTTAATGCAAGTAAACTAATCTGTTCATTTGATCCATTATTATTATTATTATGATCAAATCTAGTTTCAATTAACCATATAGCAAGATGAATTAATAATTGACTTGATTTATTTGTACAATGATTAATTCCAGTAGATGATGATAAACGAAATAAGAAGAGTAGTAGTAATGCTAATGGCTAAACAATGAAATTAAATAATAATTGTAAGTAAATATGAAATGAAGAAAGAATCTTCTATTAGAGCATGTATATCTCATCATATCGTTTTTTGAATGCAGAATTCAAACTTCATTTGGTGGATCACAAACATCTTAACACTTCAAATGTTTTATGTATTATAATTGTACTACTCATAAGTAACTAGTGTTTTTATCGTATAATTTCCCATTTTGTATTTCATTGATTAATCGTAAATTATTTCAATTGAAGTCAATTGAAGCTAGAGCACCATGGAAAAGCTGGAACCAGTGGACAACCGGTTCGTCCTATTATGGTACTCCTAGGCAGTGGTTGATACGCATTTTATTTCTTCGGTCATATTGAACGAATCATTATTGTACTTATCTACGTTAAGAGTTGATTGTCGTTATAGTGGGATTTACCAATTTGAACATTAGTATTTTAACGTAGGATAATTATTATTTCATATCAAACATTACGGACTAATATTAGTGAGACAACCACCGAGTACCAGGAAGAATTGGGCAGTTGTTTTATCGTAATATAGAACTATTCAAAAGTGTGTCCACGATTCTATCACCAGGGATTGTACTCGTACAAGGATGACTAATCTCTATATCACTAAGTCCCCATTCAATAGTTTGCGTGTTTAACTTCAATCAATTCGTAATATCACGCAACCATCATATTGCGTAACCAACATTAAACATGATGCTTTACTTAACATCAGTCGGTGATTCGAAGTTTAAAATTGAAATAATCTCCATAAACCCCTATAGTAATTATTATTTACTACAGAATCAGGTAACCTGGGTTGGCATTCCACAAAAAGAATATCGATTTCTTCAAGACTGTAGGCAAATACTTTGTTTATACGTGTCAACTACCAGGATATTTAGGTAAAAACAAACGATCTGTTTTCGAGTACGTCCAATCACTTAATAAAGGAATCTCTCTCATTCCATATATATATATATATATATATATATATATATATATATATATATATATATATATATATATATATAAGTTTGAAATGTGAAAATATATTCCGCAAGCAGCAGAGTAGTAGCATTTAAGATCCTCCCAAGTGGGAAATATGATATGAAGGTGAAAATCAGCGCTTTTGGTGCGAAAACAAGAAATTCATATGTTTAAAATAGAATTACAAAAATAAGTTATTTACCAAGTGAGTTGTGGGGATCTAACATCTCCAACACTACTTACCAAACATTTTATTACGTTATCCAAATGATTTTCATTTATATTATTTAAACGTAACCAACATTCTGTTAAATGATCAAGATCATCACCAATAATACAACAGATACATGCAGCTAATCCAGACTCAAATGAAGTAATATTAATATTATTATTATCGTTAGTTGTATAATCCAGTAGGCGTTTAGCGAAAATCGCTGAAAAAAGGAACAGAAATTTAAAGTGAAATGATAATAACAGTGAACAGAGATATAATATACATATAGATATTAGATACATTAGATTTAGGATGACAACTTTACTAGTCAATATTACATGACTAATAGATTTGATGGTGTAGAATTCAGGATGTTCAGACTTGTTAAGCTAACAATGTTATTTAAAAACAACATATTCATTATCATAGTTAATAACTCATACATCTGATCCATAAATTTTCACAAACATTTCAACAGTCAACGTTTAGACATATAATCAATTGACAAGAATAGATCTGTGTACTTGACTTTAAACTATAATTTAAATGTGAGGGTTATTGATATTACCCACGTAGTTGTTAAGTTTGAAGAGGTTACGAGTTTACTTTGATTGCGAACGGAAACAAAGACTCGGTGATCAAAACCAATAAGCTAGCTATTTGATGCGTCCCAGCCCCGCTAACTAGAGGAAGAAGTCCAAGCTTGGAATGGGGAAGTATATTCTGCAAACAGCCAGAAACGAGAGATAACAACAAACACAAATCAAAACGTATATATACAGCACAAAACCGTCCTTGGGGAGAGTTACGAAATAGCATACTAAAAGACGCAACGAACTAGTAGCATTTAAGATCCTGTGTCCGATCTCCTACGGTGGGGTTGTGGATGAGAATTTCTGATGAGTCCTATATTATTTGTTATCTATCAATTGGCTGATAAACACATTTGAGTAACTAAGTAGTGGTTCGTGTACTTGGTTTGGGATCATAAATTTTAATGGTACTAGCCCGATGTTCAGAAAGAAATCGATAGGGTTGATTTTGAACTAACAACTCAACAGTCAAAGTTCGGATTATTCGTTCATTATAAACCTAATTTTTAGCCAGTGACGGAAGTTTAGAGTTCGGATTACCATATTCATGATTGGAGAGATGGAACCTTTCCTAAATGATTTAATGTAAAGCAAATCTGTAAAATAAACTGTCGTATTTCTCCTCTACACTAATGGAACAATAGTTTACTTATGATGGGCAATGAACGATTTATTATTATTATCGTGTACGATTCACTTACTTTATATTATATATCTATCCAGTACGATTCTACAGGTTCCAACAAAACTCAAATCACCTGGCAAGTACGTGTATTAGCCAACAACTCACAACTGGCAATCCAGTCAATACAAGGATAAAGAAGTATATATGAAACATCAAATATCTGTTAGACTATTAACCAGTCTGTCTGGGAGAACCACCAGTCATCATCTCCTCCTTCAACACAACAATCTGTGAACTTGAAACTACTTAGCTTAATACCATGAGCTTTGGTATCGTAGAACACACACTTTGAACAACCAAGTGAGCAGCCTTGAGGTTAGAGCTTAAGTACTGGGGATAGGTGAGGTTGATGAAGTTATGGATCTGCATAGATTGACGTGGTTATAACAATGTCTGGTGGTACAGGAGTAGGCTAGAAGAAATCTAGGGATAGACAGACTAAAATATGAAGCAATATGCATCACTAGTATAGAATCAGGGTTTTCCGACTCCTCTTCGTCAGTCAACCATACTAACCAAACCAACTCCCGATTTCGTAAACATCACCCCACGTCTTATTTATTTATTTATTTAAACACACAAACATTGGTACAATAAGACACCGAATATATATATGCGCCACATAAATCATTCGATTTGTGTGAAGTCTGGAATACTGCCTGAGTGCCCGAACCGAAACAGGTGGTTTTCTTGGGGGGAGCGTCAATAATCCACAAGCTGTCAACCTAAACGTCTAAATCAAATGGTAGTGGAGTAACTCTGGAAGATGCAGTCCTATGGTAGCCAGTGACCAACAATAAGTTCGTACACCATTTGTTCCCTCAGGATCCTGGAGCCCGTATTCTGCGTTGGTTTGGAATCAGGGTTTTTCAACTCCCCTAAGTGGATCCTCTATATCTGTCTCAATTTTGTAAACATCACCCCCGGCGCGAGAAGGACTTGAGTCGGACTTCCCTGACAGTGACTGTATATGTATGGCCATATGAAAGCGTTTCGAGAGGGAGAGCTGACTCACCTCACCCTCAGTTGTGCTAGAGCTCTTGGGGGCAATCATCTTACCAATTTCATTTTCTCACACTGATAAGACACAGAAACTTGGACTAACATCCACATCTGAAAGGCTTTATGTTGATCATAATAAGTCAGTCAGTAACAACGCAGAACTTCGTACGTACGTACATCAGTTCGAGTTGCCATAGCACATTAGCACAGAGATGCAGTTGTCGATTCAAATCCCGTAGTGGTAGAGGTAGCAAGAGTATAAGCAGTAATCGGGAAGATTAGGGTTTGGAGATGTTATTTAAAGAGTATAATCCAGTGAAATAAATTTAAGAAGAGAAAAAAGAGACAAGGAGGAATCAGGAGATCAAAATTTGGGAGAACACAAAGAGTGGATGCACCTGCACCATTGCAAACGATTTTGAGCCATGTCATTCAACGTCTCTAACCATCGGTTGCTATCATCTCGTGGTCTCCAACCAGGTAGTCTACACCTACCAACATGACTCAGTCCACTTGTCAGTGACTTCATGGACTAGTGCCATGTTTTGGTTTGGCCGCCTCTAGCTTTCTTCCAACCTACTCCTATACCACTGAACATAGCACGTCGAGGTAGTCGGTGGTTGGGCATACGTGATAATAATCATAATAAACTGATAACTTGTTGTTTATTAACTATGAAACTATATGAAACGAAAATTCAAATCACCAATCAATTACCTACAACTGACGGCAAAACTAAATAGAACTATTCCCGTAAATGAATAACAACAACAACAACAATGTCAGTAACAAAAACAGATAATATCCACACACACACACACACACACACAAAAAAAGACTTACAGCATAACTTTCTCAATAATTCAATATCTTGATCCCATAAATGATTAATCAATGCTGTTAATATAGTTTTCCAATCTGATAATGGCCAATTTTCAATAATATTTAACCAATTAGTACGTAATAGTACACAATTAAATAACATTATGATAGAATTTAAAATTGGATCATGAATAATATGATTATTCAATGAGATTTCATTTAAAGACTGATATAATTTCAATTTTACATCTTCATATAATTCTATTTGCTTTGAACGATGTAAATCAGTTAACATAATAGCGAAAATACTTAATGTAGAAAGATTTGGCAGAGATAATGATGAAAATTTGCTGAAAAAAAAAGAAAGAAATTGAGGCGAAACATGATGGGTAAGGGGAACAGATAATTTTTTTGTGAAAGATATCAAAGAATAAATAAGTTTATTACCAAAATTATTTATTTATTTGTGTAAACACACAAGAAAGCACCAAATAGACATGCGCCACATAAATCATTCGATTTGTGTAAGGACCGTGATACTGCCCGGGTGCCCAAACAGAAGCAGGTGGTTTCCGTAGGGGGGCCATACCACGAGTCCCTGGTTTAAAGATCTAACCTACAAGACAGTGGAGCAACCTAAAGAGATGGAGGCCGATGGTAGCCGGTGTCCAATAATTCATTCATACGCCATTTGTTCCTTCAAGATACCGGCGCTCATGTGCACCACTGGTTTGAAATCAGGGTTTTCCAACTCCCCTAGGTGGACTCGCCATGTCCACCAACCCAATTAAAGTGCCGGGCATTCGCTTTTCGTCTTCTCAATTTCATAAACAATACACCCACTACGAGGGCATTTGGGGGCTTAATACCAAAATACTGCAATTCTTAATTTAAAAAGATTACAGTTCAAAGAATCATGTATCAGTAAACAACATCTTTAACTTAAATGAGTTACAGTGACTTTCATGACTATCACAAGTTATCTGTAATATTTAAACTTATTTCAGTTAACATGCCATAGAAAACTAGGAAGCAATGGACAAATTGTTCATCTTATAATGGAACTGAACAGGAGTGTTCACCCATGACCCTTATCAGGACAGAAATTGACGGTCTTTAGGTTTCGCAGTGAACCTCTGAACATTAGTAACACCGGGTTCAACACTAATAATATACCTTCAGCTTCAATACATTGCGATATCATATCGTTTGATATTAAGGACAATTGTTGCACTCTAAAATACACAAATTATGATTCAAACCAATTTCCACAAAACTAGATTCAGATAACTGTTACCTTACTTAACAGGTATTAAGATTTTTGTAAAGTTTTGTAGTTTTCCGTTGTTGATATTCAGGACTACAAATGGTTAGTGTTATGATGTATTGTATCCGACAACTAATACACATGCTTGTGATATGGTTTAGCTAGTAATCTTTCTTTCTCATTCGGAGTCTTTTAATTAGAATAGCCAGTTGGACTCTCGCATAGGGGGACTACCTATCAGTATTAAATCTTGGACTCCACACGTCGAAACAGATTCTAGGACAATATTTTCAGGCGATCAGTTCAGGATGCAAATATGACAGCAGATACTAGTTGATACAGTGAGTCAGTTAAAAGTCACCAAATGAAAAGTTGGTATTATTACACAAGATATATATAGGCGATTTCATATGCACTTGAAGAAGTTTGGTTCAATAAACTTCTTTCATCACTCTTGGTCTTCGTTCTCAGTAGCTAGTTGGAAGCTTTCGAATAGGTAGTTCGTGTATCAGTATCCATTATGGGACACATAGCGTTACAACACTTAAACACGAATCTGATCAGCTACTTCAGTAAGAAAGAAATTTTATCAACTAAGTCTGAATCCAGAATATATATACACTTATTCATATACATATATCTATTCCCTTCAGAAAACAAAACTCCTTTTGAAAAAAAAGCGTATCCGTTCACAGTAAATGAAGCCATATCTTAACCGATAGCCTACGCTTATATGTATTTATATAGACATTAAAATATATAAACTTACGGATGTAAACATAACTGAATAATTGTTTGAATATCATTAGTAACTAGAGCATATTTCAACGCATCCAACAATTGAGAAGGTGTAGACTCATTGAAACCTAAATTAAAATATTTTTTTTTGAAAGGTAAAGAACATAAAACGATAAACAAAGATAGATAGTGCCTAGCAGTGGAATCCAGAATGCGCGTTCAATCCTGTTTGGGACTTGTCAGCTGGATATACCTGCATCTCAGAGTTGATGCTCATTCTGGAACTCCTGGATTCCAGTGCTAGCCATTATCCATCTTTGTTTATAAATTTTGTGACTTCAGACAATATTGAGGCAGTCCATACAGGATGCAAATATCCCAACAAGAGACTGATCAATTGCAATCCTAAATAACAAAAGGGATGATACATGTAAACAACACCAAGTGAATATAAAACGATAAATTCTCTTATCTCATCAGTCTATTACCAATAATTGGATTTCTTAGGTTTAATATACAAACCAAAGTATTATGTAATGATAAAAGAAAGAGTAGAGTGTATGTTCCCACAATTCAGTTAATTTTAAAGAACATAACATTAAAATATCCCATAGTTCTAAGACAGTATAATAGGTCGATGTTTAATGGATAATACGCATATCATCGATATTTATCAATCATTCTGAATTAACAGACAGACATGTTTATTATTAACATAAAGCACGGCATAGATGTATAACAGCTTAAATTGTCATGTAATATTAGTATGATGAGATGAATATAATAAGATGAATCAGAGAAAAAGTTTACAATAATCCAGAAGTGATAAAAACGAGAAAGATTAAATATTGAGAAGATGATTTAACAAGATAAACTGGAAAGATATGTATCGAAAAAAACAAAGTTATATGGAATCGAAAGACTTTATAGAGAAATTCTTCTAGCGGAGATTGTAACAATCCCATGAACTTATGATAATCGATGATTGCAGAATTGACTGAGAATTTGCTCCTATGAAGTAGATAAATTGCTCTTTAGTCTAATCCTAGATTCTGAGATTTAAAATTATATGTACATATTACACAAAATGCAATCAATAATTTTTTTGATATGGTGGAATAACTACGGGTCAAACACGACAGCAGACGCAGACTACTTGGTTGAAGTCCGTGTGACTATCGTAACCAACGGTTAGAAACTCTGAGTCCCATGGCTCAGAATCGATCACAATGGAGTCGGTGGTGTATACACTCCTTGTCTTCCCTTAATCCGTGAGATTAAAATGATTTTATACCTTTCTTTCTAATTCTTTCTTCCTGTATCATATCTTTATTTTAAATCTTTCTTTCATATATTATTACCATCGAAGTGACTACTTCTATGAAGTTGGTGTTCATCTTGTGCTAATGAGGTATGGCATATATATGTATGGTTCTACGTTGTAGATGACTGACTGACGATAGTAGATTAGGGTAAACATCGATTTAGCCAACACATAAAACATGATTCCATTACAACAATCAATCTATTTAATTAATTAACTGATTTATCCTTTTTGCTCTAATTTACTGTGTCTTTTATATATAAAACGAAACTAAATAACAATCAAGTCGAAAATAGACTTTATTTTGTTGACAACAACAACAACAACAAATATTTACCTTGAAAATCCTGTTTACTGTAGCCCAACAAATTGGACAATGATGATTTTACTGAAGTTGATTTATCTAAACGAGCCTAGATGAAATTCCAAAACAAAAAAACATGTCTAAAAACAATGACACAGAGAGATAAGATGAAATGAGTAACACCAAAAACAAAACAAAAAAATAATAACATTAAAATACGATAGATAATATGCGTAAGACTACAGTGATGATAATAATATCTAAATTAGTTTTGTTACTATAGTGAAAGAAGTCTTGGTGAAGACAATCAATTTCTTATTTCATGGAAAATCATAGATAATAATACATCAACTTGGATATCTATTTCGAAGTGCTTTTTTTACAAATTTCATTGTTCACACGTTTCTGTTTATTATCTTGATTGCTTTCAGTTTTCTTCTCTTATCTTTTCATTTCAATCTTCTGTTTACAAGCATTACATATTCGATTTGTGTTATATACTACTCAAATATGTCAATATAAGTAGTATACGCCATAGTTGCAATCAAAATTAAACATGAAGGGTGATATGACTCCACCGTGATTCCTACAACTAAAATTTTAAAAGTCAAACATAATGTTTAACATGGAAAGGTGATACGATAAACTAACCAGATATACGCTAAATAATGCGATATACTGACGAATACGTTCTACTAGTCAAGATTTGTCTTGACTATCTAAGAAACAAAGAGATCTGGATATATTTTGCTAAGGAAAGAGTGAGTTAAGCATCTGCACCCAATACTGGTTTTCAGACTACAACAACAGATCTGCCTTGCTCATAGGAAGCGAATATATATATATATATATATATATATATATATATATATATATATATATCAGCGTTAGACTCGGACGACCGCAGAATACAATAAACAACATCGTTGGTTCTAAGAATATCGAGTATATTCCAACTAATATTAGATGGAAATCTTTTTGAAACGCGTTTTTCCACTTTAATGGAATATGTCTCGTAGACCAGGGATACTCGGCAAGCAAGTGTTCAAAGAGATATTTAAATTTTTCCCATGGTTTCATAATTCGGATTTTTATTGCTTTGTGCAATGATAAAACCAGTAAACAAGATATACGATAGACGGATTTTTCTCCGACACTGATAAGTATATTTTAGAATTAATTACAATATCCACTTTATTAGTAATTGTCGACATCACCTTTCAATTTCATATATGTATATGTTGTGTAATCATAATTTTATGAAATGCCAGTCTCTTTTTTGATATCACATGTCGTATTATCCAGCAGTTGAAGTGACGAGATTTGAAATCGTCGTCAAATCTTTAATTATAGTATTTGTCTTGTACTCATTAGTGTTAAAACTGTTTTATGAAATAAGAAATCCCACAATTAGACTTTGTATTTTCAACAATGACAAAACATCATTGATTTAGTGGTTAGAGGACTCCATTTGCATTCAATATACAATACATTTATAACTATATTTTAACAATAGGTTGATACTGATAGCTTTGTTATACCGCTCACACAAATGGGACGTTAATTTACCTTAGACTAATACTTACACTAGATACCCTTCCAGTCTCTGTTATACAGGAATTTAACACAACTCAGATTGAGAACACATGACTAGCATGAATAGAACATAAATATATTTCTACTTTAAAAAAAAACCGACAACAAAACCGATGATAATAATAAGGGTAGGAAAATACATAACTTATCGAATACCTGTCAGACTATCTCTACTCGTCTGACTAAGCAAACAACCAATCATTATTTTGATCGCTTACACATCAAGCTTTCACGTAGGCTTAATTACTTACGCCTGTTGCTTCTTGTGGAGCAACATAGGCCGTTAATCAAGATTCTGTCCTGAGCAGCCCCTTCCAGTTGCTAATCATTCTTATGATGTCTGAATTCGATTCCTGAAGTAATGTGCTCCTTGATCTTCCTCTTTTCCGTCTCACTTCGGAATTCCAAGTAAACGTTTGTCTCGTGACACCCTTTGATAATTTCCGTACTCTATGTCCTATCCAACTTCACATCTTTTCCTAATTTCCTCTTCATCTGGATGATGTTCTCTTCCGTAGTACGTTGTTACTGATGGTATCCGATTGACGGACACTCAGAACCCTAAGTAGACAATTGTTTGTAAATCCTTGTGCTTTCTCGAAGTTTCAGCTCCGTACAGTAGAACCATCTTGACGCGCCTATTGAAGATTGTCAATTTAATGTTGGCTGACAAGTGTTTTGAGTTGCATATATTCTTCAACTGTAGGAATGTGGCCCTTGCTTTGTCAATCCTTGCCTTTATTTCTGCATCAGATACTCCTTGTATGTGAAAGCTTACACATCTTCCAGAGTTTCTCCATCAAGTGTGACTGAGTTGGTGTTCTTTCCATGTAAGCAATGCAAACTTAGTAACTGAGTTACATTATTATAACAACTGAATATATTTAACCCTACATGAATTCGAAATGGCAAACTTTTTTCAAGTTAATACACTATACTGAAACCATCTTTCATTTGTGTCAAGGTTAATGATAATATTCCCCATATAAACTCATTATTCTTTATTTGTACCCCACTTTTAATATTGCTTTAAGTAAATTTTACATTTAAGAGTGATTTAAGTTTACATTATTTTTAGACAAGCTAGACTTGATAGATATTAGGTAAATAATGAAGAAATTATAGAAATGGTATACAATAAATCAGTATACATATTTATACTGTAATAATAATTAAACATTTGGTTGGTTATAATTCGTTCCTATTGTATTTTATTCAAGACATTAACACTGTTGGATGCCGGTTCAGTGGTCTAGTGAATAATCGCTCGCGTGCGAGACTGATAGGTCCTGGGTTCGAATCCCGCGAGGCGGGGTCATGGATGCGAGTCGCTGAGGAGTCCCACAATAGGACGAAACAGCCGTCCAGTGCTTCCAGGCTTTCCATGATGGTCTAGCTTCAATTGAATCATGATCTCAACTATTGAAATTACTACAATCTACACAAAACCCCTTCTGATACTAAGAATTATTTGATGTATATTTTACTGTTTTGTAATTACCGTTAATCAAATAGGCATATATTATTTAATTTTGTATAATATATGATCTAATTATGTAATAAATTATGATTTCATACTTTCAATGTATTACGGTTACGTAATTAGCTATTGGGAATGGAAGATGTTTTGCGGACCAATAAATGTAAGTAACTTCAGTTATTGATTAGTGGTCATTTGTGTTATTCATGGAAGCGTAGGTTATTGATTTAATATAAGCGTAAAGAGATCTCCGTCATTGATGGATTATAGATCCTAGTAATTTAGTAAATATGTACAAAAGTTTAAGTTTAAAACAATACCAATTACTTATGACACAATTTTGAGTTAGGAAATAAACCAATAGAGATGAAAGCTTACTTGAATTACATTCCATAAATCCAAATGATCTTGACTATTTGTTAGCGACGGATTATTATTAATATTATTACTAAGCATCGGTTTGAATAAAGCTTTAGCATTTTCACAAACTGTACTTAAATAATCATTGGGACAATCAAGTACACTAATCAAACATTCGATTATATCTTGTATAGAATTCTTCCACTGATCATCTGATCCATTAGTATTGCTATTAACAGAAGAATGTAGTTGTACTGTTGGCGATGATGATGGTTCCAGTTGAAATACATCAATGCATTTAATAAAAACATAATATGATTGAACTTCTGTAGAATTTAAATGATTTTGATCAGGTACTGTTCCTACTGTTGAATTTTGTTCAATACTTCCTATATCTGATGATCGGCTATTTGGATCAGTTCGTTTTGAATTACTCATTGAACTATTTGTACGAGTACGTTTTGATTGAAGATTTGTTAAAGATGAAAAAGTGACAAGTCTTCCACCAAACTAAACAACAAAACATGATAAAGACATGGTAAACATTTTATGATGAAAAATAAAACATAGGTCTGTGAATGAAACCATATCATCAGAATCCTTCACTCTCTCTTCCTCTCATGTACTACTCATTTTCTCCAACAATATCATAATAACTCATACCTGCTTTATACGCAGTAATCCATTTGAATTCAAGAGCGCGACGAATAGTGCATTTGTAGCGAAAAAAGTGCCAATATGAATATTAACACCGGAATAGAGATGCATCCCAACTACCGAATCACAAGTAAAATGAAACACGCTTCATGGATTGGATTATATCGCTAACGATTATCCAATTTTACTAAAAACCTGCGACTAGATAATAATAGCGAGACAATTCATTCAGGATGTAAACATGGTAAAACACACTGATCAATAATGCATAGTGACTTTATATGAAAATTAACGTATATACGACTTACAGCAAAATGGACACCACAGGGTCTCTTCAACCAACTTGGTGCGACACGTAATAACGGCATAGGCTATAATTATTAAAACATGATGAAAACGTAAAAAGGAAAGAATGCAATAATGTAACAAACTTTTAAAAATTATAAATAATTCAATGTTTGGTGGCAATAACACTTACAATGATAATATATCATGCTTAAGTTAAGCAAACTGGTATGATAATAGATTTATCCATTGAAGAAGCACTGGTAGTTCATCGATTTGAGCATGGTAACATGGTGATTGTAGGTAGTTGACAGTATATACTGGAATTAGGTTTCGTACTGTTTGGTACTGCTTAGGAAGGTGTACCTGCTCTCTGAAAAATTCGATCAGCAGTGAGAGGGACTTGACATACGGGATACCAGTCAGTATTCAGTCCTACATGAAGTCAGTTGCGGCCCGAACAGCTCAGTGGTAACGTCTGCGGTTGTAAAGCTTGGTAACAAGGGGTCAAATCAGCCAGGGAGTATCATTACCCTAAAGATTACAAGTACATCTTGCTATCACATAAGATATTCGTCACTACGCAGTGATCAATCAATTCTAAACCTAAATCCCGTCTTTTTGTTCAGGAATGATGTCAGATCACTTATTTTATCATGACCTTAACTCCCCTCTTCCATAGTTTTAAATTTAGAAATTATTTTCGATATGCATTTGTCGCTTCTTCATCGTTGTCAAGTGGGAAAATACTACTGTTCAACACTTAAAGTTTCCATAAGCAAATGGTAACTTTTTTAATAATGGTACAACTTTCCATTTTTTTCATTATAAATTACTACTATGTGCAAGATATGAAGGGACGGATTGGCAAAGCAAGGGCCGCATTCCTACAGTTGAAAAGCATATGCATCGCAAAACAATTGTCAGCCAACATCAAATTCAGAATCTTTAATACGAGCGTCAAGACAGTTCTACTGTACGGAACAGAAACTTCGAGAACTAAAACTGTAAAACGCGACCGTAAGCAGGGGGAATGTGTATTCATTGAGAGAATTTACAAAGTATTTACAGAATACATATGTATAACCTTCAGCCGTCCATTTGGATCTTTTACTGTATTCTGCCAATATGAACTATCATCTCGTTTGGTCTCCAAGTGTTTTGACAACGCTGTGCTTTCGATGCACCAAAAATCTTCATTCCGTCTGACAGTTATAGTAACTTCGACGTCACGTTCCGCTACAAACCACTTACAATCATGTGAGTAGTGTCCACTACATTATAAACATCACAAAAAAAGTACAGGTATTTAAAAGCAATTATCTATGCAAGATACTCAATGTCCGTTGGCCGGATACCATCAACAACAACCTACTTTGACAGAGAACAAACCAACTTCCAGCTAAATTGGGAATTAAGAAAAAAACACTGAAGGTATATACAACACACATTGCAGAAATTGTTACCCTCCGTGTATCTGGCGACCTAATGTCTAGTTCTCATGAACTGCCAGGTATAGGCATAGTACTAAGTACGAGGGTGGAACAAACACTATTACAGTGGATCCTCATTAACAGTCGTCTGTGTTCTGTTCGGTTAATGGTGATTAAATAAATAAACCCTTTACATTGAATAAATATGATTCTTTCTGATGAATACAAAATATTATGATCTTAATTATTATTATCAGAGAATAGAAATAGAAATAATAATACAATATATACAATTCTATTTACTTGAAGTAATGAAAGATTTACTGAATCCATAGAATTAGGATTATCTAATAATAACTGATCTGATCCTGAATTGATTTGTTCTTTATCAATACTATTCACATTCGGATCATTCATAAATACAGGATATAATGAATCTGATTGAAGATTATTATTATTATTATTATTATTATTATTATTATTCATAGTAGTAGGAATCATAGTATTATCAGTATTATTATAATCCATTAATAATTGTTCATTATGAAATACTTCAGCTACTTTATGTGAATTACGTAAATTTAATGAATTTCTAGCTAATATACATTGTTTATTATATCGTTCAATGTTTATTTGTTCAATTTGCTTATTGATACCACTTAATAAATTATATACTGTTATCCAACCATCTGACTGTGTAACACATATTAAATTAGGATGATTTGGTATCCATTGAACAGAAGCATTTGTTGGTAATGTATTAAAACATAATAATGGATTAACTAATTCTTGATCATCTAAACCTTCTAAACGACCAATAAATATTGGTTCCGGTATAGCTAATCATTGAAAGAAGAAAAGAAAAGAAAAGAATGAAATAAACTGTAACTATTTGTGGGAGGAAAACTTTTTTACAATTAAAAGCTTATACATATATAAGCGAACAATATTGATTATCTTTGTTTCTTTAATTAGATCTTCATCAAGCTTTACTACTCGAATATACAGTAATAGTTATATATGTATTTGTTGTTTGAATTATCCCAGTTAATGTTTAGGGGCTGTGATTGATCGGTTACTTTTGACGGATGTGTATCCTGTACAAACTGCATTGATATTGACACTAACGCTAAGCAATTTAAGCAGGACCTGACCATTCTGATGGGAGATTTCAATGTCAAGGTTGGAACGGACAACATCGGATATGAAAACATTATGGAACGACACGGACTGGGAGAAAGGAACGAAAATGGTGAGAGATTTGCAAATCTATGTGCCTTCAATAAACTGGTCATAGGCGGCACCATATTCCCGCATAAACACATTCACAAAACCACATGGACTTCACTGGATCTCACTACACAAAACCAAATCGACCATATTTGCATCAACAAAAGGTTCAGGAGGACGATGGAGGAGGTGCGAACCAAGAGAGGAGCTGATATAGCATCAGATCATCACTTGGTGGTCACCAAGATGAAATTGAAACTCAAGAAGTACTGAACAACGGGGCAGACAGTATCACAAAAGTTCAATACGGCTTTTCTTCGGGATACTGACAAACTCAACAAATTCAAGATAGACCTCAGCAACAAGTTCCAGGCCTTTCATGATCTACTCAATGGAGAAGGAACTACTGTGGAGAGCAACTGGAAGGGGGTCAAAGAGGCAATCACTTCAACATGTCATGAGGTCCTGGGTCACAAGAAGCACCACCACAAGGAATGGATCACTGTTGGTACACTGGATAAGATTCTAGAAAGGAGGAACAAGAAGGCAGCAATCAATACCAGTCGAACAAGAGCAGAAAAAGCCAAGGCACAAGCTGAATACACAGAAGTAAACAAGCAAGTGAAGAGGAGCATTAGAACCGACAAACGTAAATATGTGGAAGATTTAGCAACGACGGCGGAAAAATCTGCAAGAGAAGGAAACATGAGGGAACTGTATGACATAGAAAAGAAACTCTCTGGAAATCGCCGCAAACCAGAACGACCAGTGAAAAGTAAGGAAGGCAAGGTAATCACCAACATTGAAGAGCAACAAAACAGGTGGGTAGAACACTTCAAAGAACTCTTGAATCGACGAGCTCCACTGAACCCACCCAACATCGAGGCAGCACCCACGGACCTCCCAATCAATGTTAGCCCACCAACAATTGAAGAAATCAGCATGGCCATCAGACAAATCAAGAGTGGCAAAGCAGCAGGACCAGACAACATCCCAGCAGAGGCACTAAAAGCAGACGTAGCGGCAACTGCAAGGATACTCCACATTCTCTTCAATAAGATTTGGGATGAGGAACAAGTACCAAAAGACTGGACAGAAGGACTACTGATCAAAATACCGAAGAAAGGCGATCTCAGCAAGTGTGATAACTACAGGGGCATCACTCTTCTCTCAATACCGGGAAAAGTCTTCAACAGGGTATTGTTAGACAGGATGAAGGACTGCGTAGACGCCCAACTTCGAGACCAACAGGCAGGATTCCGTAAGGATAGATCGTGTACAGACCAAATCGCAACTCTACGGATCATTGTGGAACAATCAATTGAATGGAATTCATCACCCTACATCAACTTCATTGACTACGAAAAGGCATTTGATAGCGTGGACAGAACAACACTATGGAAGCTTCTTCAACACTACAGCGTGCCTCAGAAGATAGTCAATGTCATACAGAACTCATATGATGGATTACACTGCAAAATCGTGCATGAAGGATAGTTGACTAAGTCGTTCGAAGTGAAGACCGGTGTTAGGCAAGGTTTCTTACTCTCACCCTTCCTCTTTCTCCCGGTGATCGACTGGATCATGAAGACATCAACATCTGAAGGGAAACACGGGATTCAACGGACGTCTAGGTTGCAGTTGGATGATCTAGACTTCGCAGATGATCTGGCCCTTCTATCCCAAACGCAACAACAAATGCAGGAGAAGACGAACAGTGTGGCAGCAGCCTCAGCAGCAGTAGGTCTCAATATACACAAAGGGAAAAGCAAAATTCTCCGATACAACACAGCATGCACCAATCCAATCACAATTGACGGAGAAGATTTGGAAGATGTAAAAAGCTTTACGTATTTGAGCAGCATCATTGATGAACAGGGTGGATCCAATGCAGATGTGAAGGCGCGGATCGGCAAAGCAAAAGCAGCATATTTACAGCTGAGGAACATCTAGAACTCAAAGCAACTCTCTGTCAACCAACACCAAGGTCAGGATTTTCAATACAAATGTCAAGACAGTTCTACTGTATGGGGCAGAAACCTGGAGAACTACAAAAGCCATCATCCAGAAAATACAGGTGTTTATTAACAATTGTCTACGCAAAATACTTCAGATCCATTGGCCGGACACTATTAGCAACAACGTACTGTGGGAGAGAACAAACCAGATCCCAGTGGAGGAAGAAATCAGGAAGAAGCGCTGGAAGTGGATAAGACACACATTGAGGAAAGCACCCAACTGCGTCACAAGACAAGCCCTCACATGGAATCCTGAAGGCCAAAGAAGAAGAGGAAGACCAAAGAACACATTACGCCGAGAAATGGAGATAGACATGAGAAAAATGAACAAGAATTGGATGGAACTAGAAAAGAAGGCCCAGGACAGAGTGGGTTGAAGAATGCTGGTCGGCGGCCTATGCTCCATTAGGAGTAACAGACGTAAGTAAGTAAGTAGAATCTAGAATGCATATTCCGTCCTATTTATCCAAAAAAAATAACAGAAAAATGAATTGGGTAAAATAAAAAATATAATAGAAAAAATTTCATTAAAATTGATTACATTGATTAATTAGTAACAAAAACACAAACCTTCTTGACATGTTACATTATCCGGTGTAGAGTTTAATGCTTGATTAACACTCCAAACAACCAACATTTCAGCATAAGTTGGATTTAATTTTGTACCATAATTACCGTTTAATGTTGGTAATGCACCAGAAGCACCGATTGTCATAACAATCATATCTTTATCGTAGAAATTTGATTTATTCATTGATTTTTGACATTCTGGTATACCCCAACATAATGAATTTACTGTACCTGCATTCCCTAATGCATAATTATTTAATGGGTTAGTTGTTTTCAAATTAGATGATAATAATGGTGGCCAATGACTTAATAAACAAAGCATATGTTTTGGATAACGAAGATCCCATAACTGAACATTAGCATTTGGATTATTTGGATCAGCTATACACAAACGAGTTGCAACATCCGGACTCCATGCCATCATTTGTGGTTCTAACTGTAAATTTAAAAAGGAAAACAAGTGTAATAGTGAGGTTAAACACAGGGTATTACGGAATAATGGTAAATCAGTTGATGAGGTTGTGAATCTTCATCGACTGAGATGGTTGGGCCACGTGTTACGTATGCCTGAACACCGATTACCACGACGCGCGATGCTGACTAGTGTCTGGAATGGTTGGAAGAAAGTTAGGGGCGGTCAAACCAAAACGTGGCATCAGTGCTTGAAGTCAGTAACTTCTAGTTTGAGCCATGTTGGGAGATGCAAACTACTCGGTTGGGGTCCGCGTGACTATCGTAACCAATGGTTGGAGACTGTGTGACATGGCTCAGAGTCGATCACGTTGGTTTAGGTTTATGCACTCTTTGTCTTCCCTTAAACTATGAGATTAAAATCACATCATATCTTTCTTTCTTCGAATTAATTATTTCTTCCTGTACTATATCCTGATATAAAATCTTTCCTTTATATATCACCACCACTGAATTAACTACTTCTATCAATCTTGTTGTGCTAATGCGTTATGGCGACTTGGACCGATGCATATATGTACCTGGTCCTACTCTGTAGCTGATTGACTGAAGTGTAAAAAAATGGACTATTCAACAAAAGATTTCTGACTCATTTCATTGAAGTTCTACGTAAATTACAGTTAAAAATCGCCTTGCAATGCAGCTCTGAATATTATTTAGTAAATTATTTTAATTAAATCAGGTCCCATATTTAATAGTTGGTGGCAGTTGACAGGATGCCATACGCATAAGTTCCGTCCTAATCACCTTTCATCGCCAAGGTACACTTGCAATCGTGAAAAATGATGCTTCATGAGGGGTTCGGATATGCGTAACTCAGCTTTAAAGTTTCAATTTATATTCGGCAATCTTTAGAAGTGTACGCTCACAAACGCACATAATATCGAATTCCAAGAGTTTTGAGTTTTGCGATCAACACGAAAGTTATATTATTATTATATTATATTATATTATTATTAGCTTCATTCAATATTATAATTTTGGTACAATATAGAATTCTCAGCTCAAAGTATTTCAACAAGTTTCCGTTTCTTTCTTCTTGGTCGGTCCTGGCGATAAATATTGAGGAAACGCCAGTTAGATGTTAGCACTTCAGTGAATGAACAACTGAATAATGTGCATTCTTTTCGTTGTACATTGCCAGCAACCATATTGTCTCTTATTGAGTTTTCTGTAACTTTGACAACGAAAGATTGTACACTTTTCAGAAACGCAGCAGAATAGGTTATGCGATTAATAAACATAATGATATATTAAAACAAACAACAATAGATAACTTGTTGAAATATCTAGATGGCAGGAACAGTTAGCCCAGATGCTCAAGCAGGTCGCCCTAGTTAGATCAACCTGATAAAATTTAATCTTATGGTTCATGTTAGCGGGACAAAGACTAGATCAAAGCATGCTCAATGCATGATTGCTTTGGTGCACGCTGATTAGCTGATTCGTATCCAAACAGCACTAGTCGATAGTCGGAGAATACTCGGGAATCTTCTTATGTAAAAACTATAAATATACCGACGTTTTCCCCTATTGTGCTTCCTACTGGCTTCTGACTTGCTATTTGGAATATAATCTTTTTTCCTGTTCAAAAAAAAAAGTATGCATAACTTTTAATTCTCCAACATTCTCCTCCTCCTCGAAATAATGTTGGGTCCTTATGGCTCCAAATTACAACTAGTAGGACTTTATTTAAACCATGTTTCTCGTATTGACTGGAGAATCCACTAAAAATGACTAGATGATGATGAACAACCTTTGATCTGAGTTCATTATTTTCAAATTCATTATGAATCTCGTTAGCAGATAACGAGTCATTAAGAAAGTCAACGTCTAACTCTGTTTCTTCTTACGGGTTATAACAGTGGCGACGGGGAAAAACTAAAGAAAAATGGCGATTTCTTTAGAACAGTTGCGGTTAATATTACAGCACCAGAAGAAGTTGTTAACCTTGCAACAACAACTATTGAACACACTTTTCACTCGACCAGAAAATAAGAAATCTGTTTATGATGCAGTAACAGACATTTCAGAAGCATATCTAGTGGAGGGTTCAAATCCCTTTATACCTGAATCAGAAAGTAATATTTGTAATGTTTCCGGCTCACAGCAAGAAAATACTGTGCTGAATGCACATGAAGTTGTGACAATACCAGATGATCAGGAGCCAGATCCTGTAGATGATGCCCAGAGTCCAGAATCAAATGAAACACTACTGGTACTGTCTAGCTGCGAAAATAAACGTCAGCTCGAACAAAATTGTGGTCCACGTGCTATTAGTCGAGAAAGCTATGGTGACTCGTATTCAGAAAATAACTGGAGCAACACGATGAACCAAATTGTACCAGATGTTACTCAAAATCACCGGAAGACAGAATTTTATATTGAGTCAACTTATCCCATTTCTAATGACAGTGTACCAGATATTGATTCTCAGAATAATGCATATGATTTTGATGAACCTTCTTATAACAATGAGGGAAATATGTCAGCTGAGTCGAATGATGGCCAAAAATCTAATCTAATTCTGTTAGACGTTGACTTTCTTAATGACTCGTTATCTGCTAACGAGATTCATAATGAATTTGAAAATAATGAACTCAGATCAAAGGTTGTTCATCATCATCTAGTCATTTTTAGTGGATTCTCCAGTCAATACGAGAAACATGGTTTAAATAAAGTCCTACTAGTTGTAATTTGGAGCCATAAGGACCCAACATTATTTCGAGGAGGAGGAGAATGTTGGAGAATTAAAAGTTATGCATACTTTTTTTTAAGAAAAATCAAAACGCCGGGAACAGACATGTCAGTCTCTGTGCAAGGAAAAAGTGATAATTCTTCATTGCCTAGACGATGGACTAATCGAAAGCACAAGCCAGTCACTCAGTTGCAGTTGGACCCTAGCACCAGATCCTACGAATCTGCTCAGAGGGGAGGTGTTAGCGGGACATAGACTAGATCAAAGCATGCTCAATGCATGATTGTTTTGGTGCACGCTGATTGGCTGATTCTTATCCAAACAGCACTAGTCGATAGTCGGAGAATACTCTGGAATCTTCTTATGTAAAAACTATAAATATACCGATGTTTTCCCCTATTGTGCTTCCTACTAGCTTCTAACTTGCTATTTGGAATATAATCTTTTTCCTGTTCAACCGTGTTCTGATTTGGGGACTTGTCGAGTGAATCGGTGTCCGAGAATACTAAGCAACAGGAATAGCTGGGTCATTAACCGTAAGAAAAAGAGAGTTATAACAGTTCATATTATGAAATTCAGTCAGTCAATCACAACGTAAAACCTGGTACGTATGCACATCGGTTTAAGTTTTCATACTCCATTAGCACAGAGAGATAAAATTATCAGGCCAAATCCCTGAATAATAGAGGTAGTAGCAGTGTGAATGGTGATTGGAAAGATAAACCATCGAAGATACGATTCGCAAGCAAAATATAAATTGATGAAATAAAAACGCACAAGTTGTAAAGAATTCATAAGCTCAGAATTTGAGGGAAGATAACGAATGGATGCATCTGCGACACTGCAAACGCTTTTGAGCCATGTCATTCAGAGTCTCTGATTATTGGTTACGATTATCGCGTGGACACAAACCAGGTGGTCTACACCTATTAACACGGCCAGATCCAATAATCAGTAACTTCATGCTTTGGTTTGGCCACCATCAGCTTTCTTCTAGACTACTCCGACATCACACAACATCGCTCATCAATGTACGTGGTGGTTGGGGCGTGTGTTACGTATGCCCAATCACCTCAGTTGAAGAGGATTTAATATCTTATCAATTAATTCACTATCCTTACTCAATACCTAAACCATAAACTCAGCCTTCTTCACTTGATGGTCCCAAAATGCACGAATGGTGCTTCGAAGACACTTATGGTTGAATATTAGTAACCTTTGAATATCCTCTATTCTTAAAGATCATGTTTCACTCCCTTTAGGTACGATGAAACGAGTAGGGGTCAGCGATCTTACAAATACACAAATAAACTTTACGTAAACCATATTATTCAACAGTTTAACTTGATTTGTAGCAGAAATTCACTTAAATGTTGAGCTTCTTTTTTGTGAATAAAACATGGTGTAGATTGTATTTTTAAGTGTTGAGAAATTACAGTTCATATACAACTATTATCTAATACAACCAACAAGAATGAAATCATAAGAAGAAGATAATGAACTCACTTGACACATTGTTTTAGTAAGTTGTAAAACTGGTCCACTTTTACGTAAATCCCATATAACACAACGACCAATGCTAGTTGAGCATAATATGTGTTGAACACGCGGATTCCATGCAACTTGATTTACATTTTCTAAAGGCTATTTTTTTCAGTTTTTTAAAAAAAACAAGGATTTTATTCTCGAATTAAGTATAAGGGATAATAATAAATACTGAAACTAAATGAAGTCATTATCACTTCTTGGCTTGTTATAAACTCTTTTATTACGATGACCCAGCTACTCTTATTGCTTAGTATTCGTCGAACACTTCACTCAACTAGTTCCCAAATCAGAACATGATTGAATAGGAAAGTAATTACATTCTAAATAAACAAAGTAGAATGGAAGGAAGAACCACAATAAGAAGAACGTTAGTATATTTATAATCTTACACGAGAAGATTCCCAAATCTTCTCTAATTAGCGCTGATTGGCCATTTCTTAGCCAATCGCCTGTATTTTTCCCCCTTTGATGAGCACGATAAGCTTCGTCAACCTGGTCCACGGATAAACCTCGCATTGTATAACCTTGAGGACTAACATACTACTTTACCAGTCATAAACCTTACCATGATGTGTTGTTAAGGTTGCATATTTTGACCACGTAATAGATCTATATTGGCTGGAACACTTGTTACTTTAGGTTTTACAATTTCAAACGGGTTAGTTGGACAGCCGTAAGTGGAGAAGATTTGTAACTCAGGTGGATGTTTTTGATCGAGTTTTGTTCTCTGAGCTGGATGGTTTGGTCGTGGAGCTTTCATCGTTCTTCTGAACGACATCATCAGCACAAACTTCAGATAGAAGTGAAGTGTTCGAATTTCCCGATATGCGTTTCACAGCTTGTTCTGTACACCTCGATGTTGATTGGTTCTTATTGACTTTCAGTTTGTCATTGTTTACTTCTTTGTTTTGGTCGTGTCAACCATTGGTTTGATTTTTATTCCTATATTTGTGCATAATTTTCCTGATTGGTTGATAAATTGGATCGATTTCAATGTGCTTGTTGATTGCTGATTGACCTGAGTACCAGGCTTCTAAAAATTCGCTAGTGTTTTTAGAATTTCCTCTGTCCAAGATTTCCGCATTTTTCCAATCGAATGAGTGTCCGCAGTTGTCCACGTGTATTGATATAAGTGAGGAAATATCATGGCGTCAAACGCCATGAAGAAGAAGAACGATAAAAGCTCCACGACCAAACCATCCAGCTCAGAGAACAAAACTCCATCAAAACAGCGGTAAGTTAATAGCTACTAGTTATACACTACAATATTGAATGATAGAATATCGTTAAGTAAACGTTAAAAATTCCGATATGTTAACAGAGAAGATAAAAACATCTTATATGTCACTGATATATTTAGAGCTTAATAGAATAGAAATCGATTGACCTAAGTCTACAACCGCAACGAGTCTAACACAATTTGATGATACGTTAAGCTGTGACCTGTTAACAGTTCATAATAATGATTATTTATGTAAGCTAATTTATGACTATCCTTTCGATTACTTGATTAATTGTGCCTAATAATATAACATATAAAGTTACCTAAATGAAGAGACATTAATAAACATGTTTGGAATGTTAACCTACTCCCTCTCAGAAAACCACTTACATAAGTGTTATTTTTATTTCATAAAGATGAATTTTCATTTTCATGTGCCTAACGTGACTGAAAGCACTTACAATTTGGTTAAAAATGTAAGATAGGAATCGACAGTTCCCTCCGTTACATACATGCATACACATACATAGTTTTATCAGGTAACACTTCATTCAATATGTAAAGTAATGATGAAGAAAAAAGAACGATTTTCATCAAGAAGCATTAAATTCCACACTTCTATCACTAACTATTTCTGATCAAATAAAACCTACTTACTTGTATTTTTGAACCAGGCGACATTGGATGTTCCATTTTTCCAACATCCCAAATAAATATTTCTTCATCGTTTGATGCTGAAGCAAAAAGATTTGTCTGTTACAAGAGAAGAATGGGAAAAAATACGATAGAAAGAAAATGAATACTTTACATCACAGATTAATGCTAACTAGACAATAATTGAAAATCTGGAAGTACTGGATAATCGTTCTACCCAAGTATGAGACACCTCAGTTCGACAATGTGTAACCCACGAACCCAATGCAGTTCAAACTCAAAACATTACGACCTCGATGAAAGTGATGAACTTTTAGTCCAATGAGCCGGTATCCAATAGATTACATGTCTAATTTCAATCGACTCACCATATTCTACAAGCATCTTTCAACTTCAGTAGAAATATATCCATTAGAAGAAGCGATATGTTGGATGCAAAAATTACGTCTAAAACCGAGATCTTAATTCACCTTGAACAGTGGGTAAGTGATCGACAAAACAACACATTCTTTAATCGTACATGATATCTAATTATGTTTACTTTAGCGCCCGATAATTTTTAAATAAACATGTTTTTTGCCAGAGAAAGGACCCCCAATTCTGTTGGCCAGTGGTCTTGCCTTTAACACCTGATGATTTGAGGTGTTGTGTCACTGATTCCATCTTGTGAGCAACCATCAGCAGATTACATAACATCATTGCACTTCCATTCTATATATGCACTATAAATCCTAAAACTACAAAATTCGTGAAATCCATAAATATAGTAAGAGCAATTTCATTATGAACAAGAGGATCTCTGGTGCTGTTAAAGGTATGGGGGCGGCTGTTACTTCTTGGTTGCTCAAGCCTTGACGGTATATTTCTTCTCGCGAGACCTGAAAAGGAAACTGGATTACTAGTCACCGTACAGATCTTGGGATGTGACCACAGAGTCTAGGCAAAAACTGCTGAAGGCCAGTCACATACGACCTTTCTGTCAGAAGTTTGAAGTATGATAACTCTATGCTTCAAAAGGCCTCCAGAGACCGGAATCCGTGAGGTGGGTTTAGATGTGACATTTTTCAGGCCAATCAATCTTAATCTACTATTTCCGTTATGAAAAGACTGCATCGCTGCAAATGCTGATTGGCCGAGAGAATTATTTTATCGCTGTAACATCTCAGTACAGTCATCAGAACGACTTACTTTTCGGCCCATGAGTTTTCTGTTTTAATTCTACTGTTCGCCAACCCACCTATCTGACATGGCAGGACCCAAAGGAACAATTGCTCCAGCCAATATAGCTCAATCGGGTCATTACAATGAGTATGGTGTTATTTGTTGCTTGAGTGTTGATGCATCTATGACTAATAGAGTATGATATTGAACAGATTTGATAATCACTAATTTGCACACCACACTCAATACTATCACTACTACTTACTACTTATTACAATTATTCACTATTAAAAAGTAATATAAATTAAATGTAACGCAACTTATAGATATATTATCAACTTAACTGCAAAACAAAAACAAACTTAAAATAAGCACGAGCATAATATGACGAATCGGTGAATCAAATATGTAACTGCGCTTATTATTCTGATGAAACTTTCATGCGTTTAATGTAGATGAATAAAAGCAACCCAATAAGTATCGAATCACATCAACAATTAACAAGTATTAATTTACTAGTTGAAATCATGAGTCAATTGAAGCTAGACCACCATGGAAAACATGGAAGCACTGGATAGCCGTTTCGTCCCAGTATGAGACTCTTCAGCAGCGAGCATCCACGACCCCGCCCCCCGCGAGATTCGAAACCAGGACCTATCTCGCGAGCGAGGGCTTAACCATTAGACCACTGAGCCGGTATACGACGGTGTTAATGTCTAACTTCAACCAATCCATGGAATTGCGCTACCGTACAGCATTGTCCTCAGTGAGCTGATATCTAACAACAGACCTGGTTGAACTCCACTGGTAACGGCTTTTCACTAGAACTCCAGGAACTGCCTCTTGAAGTCAGTCACTAGTGAGCAAATGATTATTATAAGGGTTTAACTGTGTCTACTCAAACAGTATTCAACTATTGAGATTACTAAAATCTCCACAAAACCCTTTCTCATAAGTAAATAAATAAACAGATTTATACATCATCAGTACAGGGTTATGGCCCCACTAGGGAAACCACCTGCCTCAGTTTAGGCACCCGGGCAGTATCAGAGCCCTCATAAAAATCAAATAATATTTGTGTGGTGCATATGTATCTGGTGCTCCCTTGTACCAATAGTTATGTATTCAAATAAATAAATAATTGAGATCATGAGTCAATCAATGTTAGACCAGCATTGAAAACCTTGAAGCAATAAACATCTGTTTCGTCCTAGTATGAAACTCCTCAACGGTGTGCAAGACCGAAAATCCTGATTCCGAATCCCACATGCAGGCATCGTAGATGCGCACTGCTGAAGAATCCAAAACCAAAACGAAACAGCCATTCAGTGATTTCAGGTTTTCAATGATAGTCCAACTTAGATCAGTTCATGATCTCAATTAATATTCTAAAGAAATTTACTAACTTGAAATCGATTGAAATCCAAACTTCTTACAACATTATTATGAATATTTTCACGTGATGTATACAGATAATTTGACATATTATTTTCAGTAATATAAATAGATGATAATTGTTGACAAGATGACATTATAGAATTATCATTTTCATTATTCTCAATAATAGTATCGATGGTATTAATATGATATGGTTTATGAATAGTATTAGTAGTAATCTGTGAAGATGTTCTATTTTGACTCATAGATATTAGTTTTTGACTATCATATAAATATAAACTACCTGACATTGAACCAATTATAAGTAAACCAATGTCTAAATGATCATTATTAATAGGTGTTGTCCATAATAAACTTGTGGCTCTGTTGTTAAATAAATAAATAACAATAAGAAGAAAGGTTAAATGACATTACCAATTGTTGTCATCAATAACTTCGTCAGATATATGCTATGTAAAATCTCTCATAGATATACATTTGTGGTGAATGATCAACTCAGATGGGTATAACCAATTTATTGTTTAATGCAAAATTACAGAGTGACTCCATAAAATATGAAAACCATATAATAAATACTTCACTTATATATCTTTTATCAGTTGTCTCTAACGTACTTCATTGTTTTTATCATTCCCAATTGTTACTACACAATTATACTTTGTTTACATTCTTGTTCTCCTCAATTCGATCTTTTCAATCTTCTACTGTTAGACATTCTACTCCAGAGTGGTGTTACATACTACTTATATCTGTCAATATAAGTAGCATACACCACATATCGATTTAAACTTCTAGAAATATGAAATTATCAGGACTAATTGTAGAGTAATAAAAGTATCACCGGTAATGGAAAAGATTATTCATGGACGATATGATGACTAAAGGAAGAAAGAACTTACAAGATAAAATGGTAATAAGATAATTTTAAAACACCATCAGTGTGATGTGTGTACATCCGGATGACAAGCGCCGAATAGGATAAAACGTGAATTTTTTATTCTGTTACTAGCTAATATTGATCTATGATTAGAAATGGATGTAACTGAATTGTTGTATTCAGGCAATCCACTCAAGATGCCTACACGTTCAAATAAACTGATCAATAGTACTCCCTAATATAAATAATGAGAAGATTCAAACTCTCACAATTAAATGTTATGATAGATACTTCATGTTAATGATGCACCTTGAACCAACAGAAATAACTTCTAGCTTCACTTCAACACTTGAATGCTACAGATTTCTTTTCAACTCTAGCCCGAAATACTTCAAAAGACAATTCTCTGAAGGTGTGTTTACTGATAGTGACAAAGAAAAATAATTTAAACAAGTAACACGGATCGAAATACACGTACAAAACCGTGGAAGAGAAGTGTTGTTTATTAGCTTTCGTCTAATGAACTGTGAATATCACAGTCAGTCAGTCAGTAACAACGTAGAACTCATACATACGTGCATCAGTTCAAGTTGCCATACCACATTAGCGCAGAGATGCAGTTGCCGATTCAAATCCCATATTGGTAGAAGTAGTGAAAGTATAAGCAGTAATCAGTAAGATTAGGGTTTGAAGATGTTATTCAATGGGTATAATCCAGTGAAATAAATTCGGAAAGAGAAAAGAAGGTACAGGAAGAATTGAGAAGATTAGAATTAGGGAGAACGTAAAGAGTTGATGTACCTGCTCCATTGCAAACAATTTTGAGCCATGTCATTCAAGATCTCTAACCATCGAGTGTTATCGTCTCGCGGATCCCAATCAAGTAGTCTACATCTACCAATATGGTTCAGTCTACTTGTCAGTGACCTAATGGATTTGTGCCATGTTTTGGTCTGGCCGCCTTATTTATTTTACCATGAATAACAATATATCAATGGAGAATTAGTTTTAAGTTCTGACTAAATAATGTTAATCACGAAAATCTAAAACAAGTGGACTACTAACTACAATATACATTAATATATATATATGATCTCACCAAATATATGAAAGATGGTCATTCTTCTACACACAAACACAAAGACGCCCCTGATATTTATTTACTGATGTGTAATATGAAGACCTAGAAATTTCTTGAAGACAATAAACTATAAGATAAATAGTCATTTATCCAATATGGTGGTTATACGGTAAAATAGGCGCAAAAGAAAATATAAACTGTCATAAAATAGAACGGATCAATACGTTCGGGGTAATATACTGATGGTGAATACCCATATACATAGGAATAGTATCTTAAGTAAATATTTACAAGTTCAATATATATGTTATTTCGATTAGACATGTACATGCACATTTATACCACATAACAGACAGTAGGTTTAAACAATTTTACTTCACCTAAATTATTATTAGTCACGGATAATTAGAAGTATTTCTATGAGTCTAAATATTGTGTTTTAAAGTGGTAGTTAGTAAATACAGATAATGCCATTGATTAAAAGGAAATAAATGTTAAAAGTTAGTGAAGTGAAACAATAATTTAATCATGTTTCTTTCTTCTAAATACTACCTTCGTTGACTAGTAGTCTGTATAGAATTTCGTAGGAGAAAGTTTGAGAGTATTATACAGAAACGTCTTTACAAATGAAGGCTACCTAGGCTACCTGATGTTGGACTATTTGACAAAATTCTTTGCATTTTTATTTTATTCACTAATCAATCGGATACAAATGTGTATACTTATCTTTGAGTCATACTCTGAATACAATAGCCAATAGTACCATCTGGTTGTCCAAACAGAAGTAGAAGGGTGGGGCTGAAACCTGTAACTTACTGACTAAGTGCATTGATCTTTCATCATCAAATGACAACATGTTATCACTAGAAAAGATAGATATTTTAACAGCACAGCTAACTTAACTATCACAAAATCATCGCAGAGTGATGGGTTAATGCTTAAGGCGATCGACATTTAGTCAATAAGCACCAGATTCCAGCTCTGCTCCACCTAATCTATTTTCAGCAACCGAGTAGTATATCATTAGCGCTTACGCTTCAAGTTTGGCTTATACTGAAGTATCAGGAGAATGAATTAATCCAATAAATTAAAGACAATCATCACTCAACAATACAATTTTGAGTAAAAAAACCACTTAATAACAAATAACAAAATATTTCACGTTTACCTACTTTCAATAAAATACTGTTTATCTGAAGTTTTCTAGTTATATAAACTATATATCAGTCAGTGCATAAGTTGAGATGATCACTTAGTGACTTGACTTGACTACTACTAAACTTTACACATGAACGGCAAGATAAAAAAATGAACTATTGCATTAAGACTAGAAGATGGAATAATAATTGTGACTAAGCATAGAAAAACAAACATGGAACCAAGACGTGTGCTACATAAGTCAGTCAGTCAGTCAGTAACAACGTAGAAGTGTAGTGTGTGCTACATAAAACAAAAAGGAAACTATAGTTTTCTAGCTCTTATAAGTGAGATGATTTACCATTTCTATTTATCTCATTTCAATACTGGAAGTTTGCATTCACTTTCCACTTTTATGGAAATATAGATGTCACATGAAGGAAAGGGATTTCATGGTATGGATTATAAACACATATCCATATAAATGTACATGAAGATAGAAATTAGACTTGATTCTAACACGGTTGTACCAGGATATTCTTAGGATAAATCATATTGTTAAGGGGAAATAGTTAATTATGGACTAACTGATCCACATACAAATCACAATACGAAAAAAAAGGAAACTTTCATATAGCCTATTTAATTGTAGTTTTATTTATGAATAATGTCTGATCCATGGTAGTACGATAGTGCTTTAAATAAAAAGATTGACTAATACTTGATAGCTTAGTGATTAAGAAGCTTAAATTTCAACCACAAAGACCTGTGTTCGAAACCCACCCCACCTATTTTTGTTTATGCAATCAGATAGTATTATTAGCTTTCATACTAGCTCAAGTCAAATTTAGTTGATTTTAAAAAAGGTGGTCATAATGAATTTGTTAACTATTTATCATACTTGTAAATGTAACGACATTCTTTTAAATTTTCATTTAAAAAGAATAAAACATTGACTTACTTTTGTTTAATTTGTAAACTAATATTCATTTGCATAGACAGATTATTTTCTTTAACATTGAATTCATAAATATCTAATGTTGGAGAAGTCATGCTAAATTATAAAAGATATAATGAAATCATAAAGAATTGATTTACTTAAACACATAAACATTGGTACAAGGAGGCACCAAATAGACATGCGCCACACTTTGTCATTCGATTTGTGTGAGGGTTGGGATACTGCCCGGGTGACCAAACCGAAGTAGGTGGTTTCTGTAGGAGACCACACTTTGAGTCCCTGACCTAAAGGTCTAATCCACAAGGCAGAGAGGCAACATCAGGAGATGCAGTCACATGGTAGCCAGTGACCAACAATTGGTTTACATGCCAACTGTCCCTTCAGGATCCTGGAGCCAATGTGTACTATTTGTTTGGGATCCGGTTAAAGCGCCGGACATTCGCTTTTCGTCCTCTCATTTTCGTAAACAACACCCCCGCCATGAGAAGGCAGTGAGTAGGACTTCCCTGACAGCGGCTGTATACACGTGGCCGTGTGAGAGCATTTCGAGAGGAAGAGCGGGATCACTCCACTCTCGGCCGTACCAGGGCATTTGGCAGCTATTCATAAAGAAATATTCAGTCATATAGAGGATGTGAATCAGCGAATATGCAGTGATAAATAAGAATCTTTAGGAAATTATAGCTACCGAATATCTTATAATAACTTATCGTAATAATTTATGTATGAAGATAATTTTATTTATATTTATTTAAACACATAAACATAGGTCGAAGAAGGTACCAAATAGATATGCGCCACATAAACCATTCGATTTGTGTGAGAGCTGGGATACTGCCCGGATGTCCAAACCGAAGCAGCATGAAAATAATAACTTTGTGGCAGGTAATTTTACAGTAGAAATAAAAATATTTATATCCCATGAAAAAACGCTTTTTCTGGTTAAAAATATGTATGGTTTGTTTAAATCACTCAATACATGAGACAGTGCATTCCTTATTGAATACAATCTGGATAATTTTTATTGTTGTAAACTTCAGTGTGTGTCGACCTTCAACTCTAAACTTCCTCCTCAAATATATTATTTTTATTTATAACAATCAACCCAATGCTCAATTTATTCGAAATTCCTCCACAAATGTCAACACGGCCAACGATTCTAGTGTGTGAAACACTGTCCTAGGTCTACTGAAACCTCGCTCCAAACTACACATTAGAGCCTTCAGCGTACACACCCTATGACAAATCGGCCAACGGGCCTCCTTGGCTAAAATCTTAGAATCTCGTATCATGGATATATACTGTCTCTAAAACACGCATACAGGATCCTAGTGTGGTCATTCACTTGACCTCACCTCGGCAAAACGAAGAACCAACGAGATACACCCTCCGTGTATCTGGTGACTCGATGACTAATTCTAGTGGACCGGCAGATGTAGGCATAGCACTGAGTACGAGGGCAGAACAAGCACTAAGAGAGTGGATCCTCGTTAACAGTCGTCTATGTGCTGTTCAACTAAACAGCTCTGTAAGAACTTAGAAGGATAGGAACATACGTCGTTCCGTTTCCGTCATTTATGCCTACGATCCCATTGACTGAACCCCAGATGAAGTGAATGATGACATTCACAGAAAGCTTTCTGAACTTCTTCAAAAAGCTAAACGCTCAGACATAATACTCGTGAAGTAGTCAAACGCGCCGACAACTTCACTTATCCTGGAAGTCTGATCAGCCCTAATGGGTTGGTGTCTGGCGAAACCTCAGCACGGATTCGAAAAGCTTGTTTGGCTTTTGTCAGCTGACGTCACCTATGGAAAAGGCTAGATATCCATCTATCAATTAAGGGACGAGTATACTGCTCTGCAGTTCGTTCTTTTCTACTTTACGGTTGCGAAACGTGGCCAATAAGAGTAGAATATACTCGTAAGTTACTAGTATTTGATCACAGATGTCTTAGAAATATTGCCCGCGTCTGCTGGGATGACCGGGTAAGTGATAGTGAGGTTAGACACAGGGTATTAGGGAATGATGGTAAATCAGTTGATGAGGTTATGAATCTTCATCGACTGAGATGGTTGGGCCACGTATTTCGTATGCCTGAATACCGATTACCAAGACTTGCAATGCTATCCAGTATTGGAGATGGTTGGAAGAAAGTTAGGGGTGGCCAAACCAAGACATGGTACCAGTCTGTAAAGTCAGTAACTTCTAGTCTGAGCCATGTTGGTAAATGCAGGCTATCATAACCAATAATTGGAGACTGTGGGTGACATGGCTGAGAATCGATCACAATGATGTAGGTGTATACACTCTATGTCTTCTCTTAAACTATGAGTTTAAAATCGCTTCATATCTTTCTTTCTACGAACTAATTCCTTCTTCCTATATTATATCCTAACACGCAATTTTTCTTTTATATATTACTACCATTGAAGTAAATACTTTATGAATTCGATGTTCATCTTGCTGTGCTAATGAGATGTGGCAACTTGGACCGATGCATATATGTGCCTGGTCCTAAGTTGTAGCTGACTGACTGATGGATCAAGGATATATAAATAATGCTCGGATGCCGAATATGACAAAATACTCGTAACCTTCACTTGTATCTTCAAAGGTCATGCTTCATACTCATAGGGTAATACAAAAAGAACTACTGAGAAGTATTTTATCACTTTGACCGACCGACAAACATACTACCGCAGACACAAATGGCCTAGTTTAGTAAAATCGAAATGATCCTTTGGTATCTGTTCCGAGATTTTCCCACCAATCAAGTTATTGAAGCTAATATAATGAAGATAAAGGAAATGGTTAGGTTGTTCGACTAATTCACCTCCTACGGTTAAACCACGCACTGATTAAGGGTGTCAACAACGGTCTTATTTCCTTATCATCAAAAAATTATGACGAGACTACAATAAAAAAACTTAACATTCCTGTATTTATCATCAACAGATAGTTTGAATATTTTCATATTAATGCTCAATTCGATTAATTTCGAAGCAATTGTCTGCACAAACACGCTTACCTAGTATTTATATTTGAGTCAGTTGCCTCGCGATCATTTTCTGCGGTGACAGTTGCCAAATAAGTACGATTGCATGAAAGAGGTGACCAGGCCGAATGAGCAAACTTCTCCAACTCTTTGACTTTCATTGTCAGTTTAGTAAATCTAAAGAAAAAACAATACTAAGGAAGTATATGTTATGAATGTACAGCTTGTTAAACAAAACAAATTTCATCACAAATGCTTAAGGTTTGAAAAAAATCAGTACCTGAAATATCTACCACACAATATCATCCATACTTTAATTCTGTTTTCAAAACCATAAAATATCAACATAGCTTCCTTGAAACCATTTAACATAAGAAAAAATCCACCAAACTGTTCTTAGAAGACACGACGTAAGCGTGATTTTGACGGAGAGATATTTAAGGCAAGTTAATGGACAGACGGTAGTCATCTAATGTGAATAGGTCCGGAACAGAATTAAAAGTTTTGTTTGATGTCCAATATCTTATATATCCCAGGTAAATGGAAACCTTAAGAACTAGTAATAAATACGGGCTTACCCATCTACCCCGTTGATACTTATTTTGATATACTCAGCCTACATGGTGTGTTATGGTACACGATGATATGCTACACAATCTACAGAAAGTCTGATCAAATTCAGTAAGAAAGTTTGCTGGTACCGTAACATACTAATGGTCGATCGATCAATAACGAGATTGAGTAGAAGCTGAAAAGAACGTATATCAACCTATGTTTTTATACTTTGTATTAGCACAGTGGGTGGAAAATAAGACGAGAAGCAAAGGAGAGAGAGAATAACTTTAGGTTCAATCGATATGATATTGTTTAATGTATTTTTAAGACAATGAACCACAGAGTACGGCTATGTCACGGATAGCAACCAAAGTCCCTGCAGTGACTGACAAAACTCAGTTCAACAGTCATTGAATTTATGGACAGATTCCATGTTGTCTTTTGATATCTATATCATTCTGAACTTTCAGTTGGTTTAGTAAAATTCAGAGCATTTTATAATTTTTTTATTTATTTGAACACATAAATATTGGTACTAGAGGGCACCAAATATATATGCGCCATACAAAACAAGGAGAAATCGAAGAGAGAAAAAGGAAGGTAAGGAGCGTAAAAACAAGAACAATAACGAACAGATTACTGTAAGGTAGTGTAATAATAATAATAATAATAATAATAATAATAATAATAATAATAATAATAATAATAATGGGGGAGATGGAAAGGTACAAACAGAAAGAATTCTTTCAGTTAAAGCAGTTACGGTCACTTTGTATGAAGAAAGTATAAGAAGGTTACAGCAGGATCGCCACTAGCTTCTATTCTGAGCCATATCTGATAGCGCTTCTAGCCACTGTGTTGCACCAAGACGTCGATGGATGTTAGTGATTGGCATCCCGCAGATTGTTTCGCTCACACCAGACTTCTTGCTGCCAGTGGCCCGGATGAGTTGGAAGAGCTTCCGGTAGTTACCAGATGCAGCTGCTGCTTCCAGCTCATTAGCACGCTTCGACAAACAGGCTTCTTGGTCCTTATGCAAGCTTTGCCCGATTTCATTACGTAACAGCATTCGTTTGTGGTCAAACTCACGGTCACCCAGAGTAGACCGACGGGCTTCGATGAGTTGTAAGGAGCCTGAAGAAACACAATGCTTATAAGCGGGACGTTTCGCGAACCCACAAGCGGCTTAATTCACCATTTTTATGGCGTCATGAAGCTGCAACTAATGCTCATCTATACTTTTCGGTGGAATGGTAGCTAGCCTAGAACCTAGCTCGGTTCGATACTTAGTTGCAAAAGAAATTGCAACCAACTTGCTAACATTAATCCGTTGATGTCGGTCACTTTGTTGGCCACTGCATTATTTGCCGACTCTGGGATTGATTGGAAGAAGCGGAGAGGTGGTCAGTATATGACATGGTGTCGTGGCATGAAAGAAAGCTGCAAAGGACTGGCTTCTGTTGGTCCTTCACGACTCCCTGGCTGGGGTCCGAGAGATGTTGCGACACAGTGGCTAGAGACGTTATCAGATATGGCTCAAAATAGAAACCAATGGCGATCCTGCTGTAACCTTCTTTTACTTTCTTCGTAAAAAGTGGTTGTATCTTACTTAACTGAAAGGATTCTTTCTGGTTGTACCTTTACGTTTCCCCCATTATCATAATCACAAAAAAACTGGTTGAAATAATACCCGAAAACAAAGACAAAGATGCGAAGGAACAAAAGTGACGGAAGACCCCTTCTAGTAATCAATTTTGTGAACAACTATTTATGGCCTTGGCCAACTTACAAAAGTTAATTTACCACTAGTCCCTCAGGATATCTAACCAGAAAATCACCAAATGATCATATTTGGCAAATATAGGTAAACACTGAAGGGGCTTTCGTGGAAATAAAGTTACATTCCAATTTAGCAAGATAATCATCATCTAGATGACACAAAAGACATCCCCGGAAATCAAGTTCAATAAAGAAAGCCGGTAATTTTACGAAATAACGTTTTCCAACATACAAGAAACGCTCATGGGAAATTAGGACATAACCTGTCAAGTTTTTTGTCCCTTTTTATAATATTTTGTCAGCCTTCTTTATCAAACATTGATACTATTGAGACCTGCAAGATTTACTTGAAGTTAGATGGATGTTCTTTGTATTACACTTATGATCCCGTGTACACTGCTAAGCTTTTGCCTAAAAGATGTTTCCCAAGGAATTGGTAACCGAATATTGTACATGGTTAGTTCCATTCTCGATTAGTCAAATATGACTACCATTGCAACGGTAGACATCATGATGTCTGGTGATTTGTTTAATCTGGAAGTAAACCCAATTCTACTAGTTAAAACCCAAATGTAAAAGAGCTTATTTTCCTATGAAAAGACTTGTTCTCATCGTCAAAAAAGCGAGATAACAACACAAACTCTTACAGACACGTTTACACAGAACTTGTTGGTACCGCCTAATAATACGTTGGCATTGACCTTGGTAAGTCTTCAGTCTTCAAAGGGTTCAAATGGGTAAGGATGGAATAGAAGAAGCCTCTGTGTCCAGTAGCAGTGGACCACCGACACCTTCAGACAGGAACCTAGGTATATTAACTATAAGAGAAATTGGCAAATCATAATCAGTTTCAGTTTCAGTTTGGGAAGGACAGGAGGCTCGATGGCCTATGTTAGTCCTGGCAATGGTGGTCTCTCAGTTGATCCAACTTTCTTTTGAAAGAGTCGACGGATGGAGCCTTAACCACGTGCTGAGGTAGTGAATTCCACTCGTTGATGATTCCATGGGAAAGTCGATAGTTAGCTGACAAGTAATTTGTTCTCGGCTTGTGAACTTTTTTGTAGTGTCCTCGTAAATTCTCTGTTTTGGAAGACAAGAAAAATGAGGGCATATCAGGTGCAAATTTATCACTAAGCAATTTGTAGACTGTAATCAAGTCGCCTCTAGTTCTGCGATATGACAACGGGAAAAGGTTCAGCATGGCCAGTCGAGATTCATGCGGAAGCTTCGCTATTCCGGGAAGCAGCTTAGTCGCCGTTCTCTGAACCTTTTCCAGAAGCTCACTGTCTTTTTTTAAGCAGGGGCTAGCCGCTTGTATGCAGTACTCAAGTTTAGGACGAACGAACACTGTATACAAAGTCAAAAACGTCTTAGTGTCGACATGACTAAAAGCTCTACTTATTGACCATAACGTTCTAAAACTTTTGGCGGCTATTGCACGGCAGTGTGCAGTAGTCTTTAAGTCTTGACTAACGATAACTCCTAAGTCATTATATGTCTGGACGACAGGTAGCTCAGTGTTATTCATCGTGTATGTATCTGTGCCTTGATGACCGATATGCATCACAACACACTTGGAAGTATTTATCGGCAACTGCCATGTTTGAGACCATTCAGATAACTTCTTCAGGTCATTTTGAAGTTCTAATCTGTCACTCTCACATCGTATCGTTCTCCATTTCTTGACATCGTCAGCATATATCAAGACCGATGATGATAGGAGACAAGGAAGGTCATTTACATACAAGAGGAATAGCACTGGCCCCAAAACTGTACCTTGAGGAACTCCACTAAGCACAGTTTCCCAGCTAGATAACTTTGAGTTCCCCCGAACTCTTTGTTGACGCCCAACTAAGAAGTCTTTTATCCACACCAATAAATTGCCTCTAATCCCGACTTTTCTTAACTTATATAACAGCCGGTTGTGCGGAACTTTATCAAAAGCTTTACTGAAATCAATGAAGGCGACGTCTACAGGTAACTTTCGGTCCTTAAGAGCGCACCAGCTTTCATGAGCGACTAATAAGTTGGTGAGACAAGAATAACCTATTCTGAAACCATGCTGTTTCTCCGAAAGGATCCGGTTTTCATTGAGGTACTTAAACAGCTCCTTCCGAATAATCTTTTCTAAGATTTTAACAACCACACTAGTTAGGCTAACGGGTTGGTAATTCTCAGGTTCATGTTTCGTACCTGTTTTGAAGACAGGACTTACTATGGCGTTCTTTCAGTGTTTTGGCAAACGACCCTGCGTTACAGGTAGGTTGAAGCATATACTTAAAGGGTTCGCAACGAAGTTAGATAATTCATTCAGTAGCCTAGGATGTAATTCATCGGTCCCCATGGATTTACCTATGTCAAGCTTATTTAGCAGACCAAAGACATCGAGTTCTTTAATGGTCACGCTATCCAGTGTATGTTTGGGGGGATCTGTATACGCTGACGGGAAGGGCGCTTCTATGGTATACACGTCGCTAAAGTAGTTCGAGAACGCTTGAGCCTTACCAAAGTCGTCCTCCACTAATGATGAAGCAGTACTGTCTCCCCATAGAGCAGGAATATTTCCTTTTCTCCTTGTCCTTTGGTTTATATAGGAATACAAGCGTTTAGGACGTTCAATGGATTCCTTAACAAGTTTTTCTTCGTACAATTTTCTGGACTTACGGAGGGTCGAGGCACAAGTGTTCCGAGCCTTTCGATACTGAGATTTTGACTCATCAGTCCCCAGTAACCTAAATCTATCCCACATTTTCCTTTTCTTACGGAGAAGGATACGGACCTCCCTACTGAGTCATGGTGGTGAGTTTTTCGGCCCCTTTGGTATAGTCCAAGGGATGTGAGGTGTGGTAACTTTTAAGTATGAATTTCGAAATGTGTCCCAGGCCGTTTCAATGGAGGACTCTGGGTCTATTGTCCAATCTATTAACGATGCTGAGTGCATGATGTCTGGTATGTTTGCTTTCCAGACGTTGGGTCTGTACTGGACTGACGCATCCTCATGACTGGCAGTTATATGGAAGTTGAAAGTTAAAACTGCGTGGTCACTTTTACCTAAGGGTGGCATATGATGGAGGTTCGCAACATCATCCTCATTGTGAGTCAGTATAAGATCTAATAAGGATGATTCAGTGTCCGGATCGTACCTTGTCGCTTCTTTCACATGTTGCACTAGAGCACATGTGATAACCGCATCAACTAGTTCCTGCTCGAAAGAATTCTCCGACGATTTAGTTCGCAGATTTTCCCAGTCTACCGTAGGTGCATTAAAGTCCCCTATGATTAGACATCGACCACTTTGGGACCAAGTATTGAGACTGCTTAACAGGATCTCATTTGACTCACAGCTTGGACTGCGATAGACCAAACCAATCAGCAGCTCTTGTCCCTTGCATTTTAGGCGAAGACTAACTAATTCACACGTCCCACTCTCATGGGATACACTATCGATTATGGTAAATGGGATAGCATTCCTAATGAATAGAGCTGCTCCCCCTCCTTTGCGCTTTTATGTTCTGTCGGCCCTTACTAACGTAAAGCCCTCGAAATCAAGTTCTATACTATCTATAGCCTGTGTCAGCCAGGATTCTGTTACTGCGATTATATCTGGCTTTGTAGAGTCAATCTGTACACCTAGTTCCGATCGCTTATTAAGTAAGCTTCGTGCATTGGTGTAACAGATCCGAAGCCTCTTTAAGTGCCTTCGTGCTTCACCCAGAGTGGCTTCGGCATCATTCTCTGTCGAAGTCTTACAACCCGAAAATTTACAATTTTCAGGTCCTTTTCGCCAGCGTCTAACCTATGTTGTAGTTCTTTCTCGGCTTCCCGTCTTTTAACACGGTCTGCCAACGGTAGGTCCTTTCGGATAAAGACTCCTGAACCCTTTAATTTGTGTCCATTTTGTAAAATTAGGTCACGTTCGTTCGAAGAGCCGAATACTACTTTAAGCAGTCTGGAATGATTTGGTTTCGAGTCCGTTAGACTCCCTAGTCTGTACACCTTTAGCAAGGTGACCCCGGTCATATTTTGAGACATGAGTTGATTAAGCAGCTGCCTAACCAGTACAATGTCATGCTCAAAACGACCTTTAGGTTCAGAGCTATCGCTCTCCTTGATTCTATGAAAAATAGCTGATAATAAGATGTTATCCTTGGTCCTTAAGAATAGGTCGTTTCCTCTTAAAGAACTTCTGGGAAGATGCTTGAACTAGTTCAGTCGGCAGCGAATTCCAGAATTTGACAACTCTAAAGGAGTAGAAGTTGTGTCTACAGTCCGTTTTGCTATGTTGTATCTCCAATTTCTGGGTGTCACCCCTTGGTCTTGTATTGAGACTAAGCTTAAGTAGGTGTTTAAGGGTATGTCCAGAAGTGTTAAGGGTACTGTAAGCCGTCAGAAAGTCACCTTCAAGACGTCTATACTCTAATGGGTGAAGGTTAAGTGATTGGAGGCGCCCTTCATAAGGTTTAAATTTGAGTCCCCGAACTGATTTTATGGCTCGCCGTTGGATACGCTCCAGAGTATCCTTGTCGTTTTAGAGTAAGGGAAGAAATACTGTGTCTCCGTACTGTAAATGGGGACGAATAAAACTGGTGAAGATTATTTGGAAAGTCCTCCCGTCAAACTGGTAAAAAATGCGCTTCAATGTTACATGTGCAAGGTTTGGTCGAAAGGCATTTTTGTCACAGTTAGCGTAACTTCAAGTAGTAGGGTACCAAAACTCCTAAATCTTTTTCGACTTGGGATACCACTAGAGAGGAGTTTCTTATGTTGTAACTGTAGTATGTAGGTGGAACACTTTACACCTTGAAGTGTTAAAGGTAAGTCCGTTACCGTCTGCCCAACCTTGAAGTCGAGTCAGATCCTCCTGAAGTGCCTGTATATCCTCTTGGTTGCGTATCTCTCTCCGAAGTTTCACGTCATCAGCAAAAAGTAATAAGCCAGACGACACTTGTTGTGGAAGATCATTTATATAAACCAGGAAAAAAAGAGGGTCCTACTACTGAGCCCTGAGAGACCCCACTAGGACATTCCATAGCCTGAGAGAAATAAGTTAACCCTGACCTTAAAATGTCGATTTTTCAGATATGAAATGAGCCAGTCAATTACAGGTGGTCTGGTAGAAGTCTATCTGAAGTTTGTGCTGACGATGTCATTCAGAAGACTGATGAAAGCTCCACGACCAAATCATCCAGCTCAGAGAACAAAACCCCACCAAAATCATCCACCTGAGCTACAAATCTTCTCCACCATCTCATAAGCAGTTTATGCTTTTAATTTGGAACGCGTGAGCTTCTTATTTGTTTATATGAGCCTTATGTGAATGGACAGGTAGCCCTTCTGTATAAGATTTATCGAGTTAGTAGGCCCTGTTCTTTACACTTTTTTATGATCAAGACAGTCCACAAGTGGAATGGTCAGCTCCAACTTGCCTTTGCGCTTGATTCTGGCGTCATGTGGCCTATCCGGATGCATATGGATTCCAGTTGGCAACCGACCTATGTTGGCATGAAGTGTCTCCAGAGTTACAGCCGTCATATGGGAAGGTGGGAATGTTATCTTCATTAGCCGGTGTCTATTTCTTCAGAAGAAAAACGCCTCGCGAGATTCTTTAGAGATGTTCAAGATGAGATTGCGCTCAGAATACAGGTATGTCGAGCAGTATTTAGTCTTCAGTAATAATGATAGTAAGTT